TTCTGTGCAAGGATACTCATTGAGTTGTTTAGTTGGCGGACTCTGTAATGTAAAGGTAATTGTTATTCCAATACAAATGTTTTTTAATGCCGACTTCCCGTCTTATAACAAAATAAAGAAGCCATATTCGTATAACTAAAGGAAGGGATGGAAATTGATTTTTATAAAGAATTTTGAGCATTTTTTTTTTTTGAAAAATTTGATTAACATTATTTAAGTCATAATTGATAGCCCGCATGCGTTTTAGCGGCATTGCTTCCCTCTCACTCTGTCTCTTTTTATGTTAGGAGTGTTAGATGTTTAACGCAACCTTGATAGAAGTCAAGTAATAACATTACATAACAAAAGAGTACACAGTTAAATGGATGCCACAAATTTGAAACAAACTCAGCTTACACCTGCATATAATTTGTTCCTTTAGAATGTTTAATAAATAAAAAATAATAAATATGACAATTGATAAATAAATTCTTCTATTGTTTTCCTAAAATGCTCAAATTTTGTTTGTCTTCGTATGAAAAGCAACCATAAACAACAATGTGCTTGTAAATTGTTTTTGACAGCAACAAATGTTCTTGCATTACGGCTCAGAAATAATTTGAGATTCCTGCTCTTGTCACTTCTAATAGCGAGAAGGTTAATTTAATGAGCTTGTTATGACGATTGTAAAACGCTATTAAATAATACAACAATGTACAATGATTATTAAACACAGAATTTCTAACACAAAAGACGGAACGATTTAATAGGAACAAATAATGTTTTGGGAAATCACATGTTGAGAGTTATCAACTGCAGATTAATCCATATTTTTTGAAGTCAATATATTTGCTGATAATTCTTCTATACTATAAATTACTTGAATATTATTACTTGAACTTTTTTAAGTGTCACGTCAATACAACTATAGATTCTCTAAATATAACTAATACTTTTCGGATTACGCGTCTTTTATTATACCAAAAACTACATACTACCGACGTTTTGGTTACTTTTCAGCAACCATGTTCACGGGCATATCTCGTATGCGTAGTATAATCTTGATAATATTAGTTTAATTTAAATGAATACTCGCGAAAGTCTATACTTAGTTAAAGTTAGTTTTAACCAAAAATATGTTCTTTATGTTAAACATTTCCTAAAATTTTCTACCTCATTAACGTCCCAACCTCATTTAAATTACAAATAAGTATCATTTTGATATCTTTTCCTTTAGAACTTTGAAAAGCCTTTCACGAGGAAGGCGTTGTCAAAATATACAACCACAAAAAATATTTTCAGGATACTTGTGTTATCTCTTTCGAATATTATCTGAATGGGGAATATTTGAGGCGGTTTTTTATGTGGACTTTTAGGAAAATTTACATGAATGGAACCTATATCTTTATCGAAATAAAGCACGCGGTAAAACTCAATATGTCGTATATAAGTTATAGAAAATAGATGATAGAAAATACAGTAGACACACACATATATATATATATATATATTAACAGTTAATATTGTTATTAACAAATCTGATAACCGTATTATATTCTATTTAATGAAATTATGCAATTCCTTTTTATTTGTAACTCAAAATTCAAAAACATTATAAATATTCAATTGCATCCTTGATTTATTTAAAATTTTAACGAATAATATTTTTACAAAAGATTGTATAAGATGTCCGTATAATTATTATGAAAACAAATTTGAAAAAATCTTGTTATTTTTGAGCCTTAATTTCAAGTCTTTTTGGTCAGTCAGTCAGTTTAAGATAACTGCTTTTAAATTTAAATGAAATATTATTAGGGTATTAACCAATATTAATAGGGTATTTACCAAACTTGCAAATAAATAAAAATATAGAATTTAAAAAAACCGGAAATAACTAACAAGAAGTTTTTACTAAGATGTCAATATAGTCTGTGTTTGATTATTATTTTTTTTTGTGATAATGCCAATATATAAAATATTATTTAAAATTATAGTGACCTTATTCTTAACCATATAAACATAAACGTTCCTAGCTCACTACAGCATGTAATTGTGAATTACTCGTCTGCCCGCAATGGGTCTGAATAATTTTGTAATTTACAGTACTATCTTGATCCTCTCGGTAAAAATTCACACGTAAGGAAAGTGTTCTAGGTATTAAAATACTTATAGTAATTTTAGAAGCGTTATTAGAATAATATTGGAAGAATTTAGTTCATTTAATATTATTTATCAACAAATTAGTTGTTTTAAAGTTTATAAAAAGGAGGAAGTGTAAGTTAAACATGTGGTTCCGTTATACAAAAAAAAAAAAATTATTTTTTTTTTTTTTACAATTTTTTTAAGCAAACGTTCACTATATTATGACATTTGTAATAATTATAAAATAACTAGCTGCGCCCCGCGGTGTTACCCTCGGATTTCCGAGATTTCCGGGATGTAAAGTAGCCTATGTGTTATACCTGGACGTCAGCTTCCTGTATACAAAATTTTATCAAAATCGCTTCAGTCGTTTGAGCGTGAAGAAGTAACAAACATACACACACACTCACAAACTTTCGCAATTATAATATTAGTAGGATTTTGAACGTTATATTTTTTTTGTCCGTTATATTATTTTAAGTATTTTTAATGGTTAATAATTAATGGCTATAAAATTCTAACATAGTCTCGAAATAAGTTCAAAGCACGATAGTTCAGTTGGCAAAGCAACTAGAACAGTATATTCTAGAAATAGGTATTAATCCTATTTCTATCTATGGCATTTATTTGTCTCCTTAAATTCCGGCTCTTCTGCACCATATTGATTACAACCATTGCTAAATACATAAAAAATATTGATAACCAAAACAGATTCTAAACATATTATGTTTATCGAATAATTAAGAAGCATATCATTCTTTTATATGTTATATAATATATTTAATAATATGTTTTTATAAGTTCTTAACTTGTAAAGACAGATTTCTTCCTATAATAGTTTATACATAGTACGTACTACTCAAACACTCGAAATTCTATCAAACAAATGTCAATATATTTAAGAGTCGTGAATGATCAGGGTAAGACAACTAAAACACCCAATAGTCATAAAACTATGCATCATTTTTAAAATAAGTCTTATTATTAAATGTATAGAGTTCATTTTGTGAAACTTCAAATATTATTATACACATGATAATTGATTCGATCAAAAATCAGTGATGAGGATATAGAAATTAGGTTACAAACTATGAAGCGCCATCTTGATTAAAAATTGTAACATTATGAGTTAGCAAGTTTTATGATTAGAATTACACTTGAAGTCGGCCATTTTAATTTTTGGTATTTTTAAATGTACTGTCAAAAGAAAACAAAGAGAAAAACTTTACTGAAATGTATAACAAGTAATGTCATCTAATTTTATGGAGAAAATTTAATAATAATTAGATTTAAATGTTACCATGTGATGTAATATAAAGTTGTACACAAAAAAAATTGTTAAAATATCTGATATTGTTAATTTTTTATAACGTGATCTTTGGTACTAGTTGTTTTTTTAAATCGAACGCAAAATACATAGTAGGTAGGTAGTAAAATACATACTACTACTACTACTACTACTAATTTTTAATGAAGGACATACTTATATTTTATTACAATTCAAAAAGTAAGTAAGAGATGAATAAATAATTATCCTTTATAAAAATCTACCAGTTATGGAAACTTGAATATTTCAGGAACGGTTTTAGAAAAATGGGAAGCAGTTAAGGGATTGAAATGGAAAGGTCATTAACCTTTTTGGCAGTCACTAAAACTAGGAAACACAAATGTAATTGATACTTTACGCTCATATTTCTTCTGCCAACTGAAATTACTACCTACCATCAAAGACATACACGTACCTACAAGCAACAAACTACAACCTTCAGGCTCTACCTCATTAAAACATGTTAAAATATATTTATCATATCAGGCAACATTATAAAAGATCGCGAAAATACGAATCCTCTTAATAGATTATGTTAATGAAATTTTTAACTATGTATATGCAATTTTAAATTGTGTATAATTGATAAGGCGTAGATAATAAATTTGACGTTCAAATTATTGTTAAATTACTTTCAAGAAATAAGATAAGAAATAACCCTATACGTAAGATACTGCAATATAAGTAATAAATGCATTTCAGGAAAAACCTTTACTTCTTTGCCATTTATCGATTGCATTGACAGTCCCGACGCACTTTATCAATTAATTATTCGTCATAAATTACGTACAATATTCTAGATAAGAGCTGAGGCTCTAACAAAGCTGGAATTATAGTAACCATACATTTATTAAGTTAACAACTATCGCAAAAAAACTGGTTTTCCGATGGAAACTCCGCATCAAAATCAGCCGATTTGTTTGAATGCTGAGATGCCATATCAGCACACACACACACACACACACACACACAAACACACACACACACACACACACACACACACACACATGCAAGCACACAATGACATTAACGTCAAGCTGTCACACTACTCTTTTCGCTTTGGTTCAGTCACAAAGACCAATTAAGAATGAACAATGAACTCAACTTTCAATACTATACCAAGAGATATATTACAATATACTAATATATAAATGTAACATTATAATATCTACGACAAATATAAGATACTTCAGAAATAATGATTTAATTTGTTCAACCCGAAACAGGAACAGTGACCGGCTTTGCATACAAACAGACAGCCGGATGAAAATTACGTTAGAAAAACTAAATGCTCACCCATACTGAAAAAGTACATGGAAAGAAACTAAAATAGTACAAGCAGAGTAGGGGTGGAGAATGTTTCTTTTTGTTAATAATACTGATAGAAAATCATTTTCAAAAAAAATCACACCAAATATCCCAATTTAAGGCGATTCTAATAAAACCAATTTATCATTATATATTATATCAAAACAAATAATCTTAAAGAAGTTTTTTTATTTATTATCTTTATTTAATTAAATGAAAAATATATATAAACATTATTTTTTATTCACGCAGAACTAAAATGTGTATGAAATAGCCTGTAAGCGCAGTATTCCATAAGCGCAAGAAACAGCGGGTACGTAATTTTCGTGGCGACCTGGGTGGTACAGAAATAGGCTAAAACACCCGCGCCAGCCGTATAATAGCCCCAAATATGATCATGTTCGTGCGAGTATACACACAAGGAAACAAGATTGCAAGCAATAACAATGTTCCCCAAATGTTTGTTGTCATTGCCAGCTAGCGCCATTACGAATGGGATCAAACCAGAGACAAGATGGATGCTGCTCAAACTTTGATCCCCTCTATACAAATCAGCCATCAGACACGGTAAGGCTAAATAACGAGTCGCGGCTGTGCTAATCGTGTAGGCTGCAGTGAAATCGTTGTTAAACTTCCCGCCTGGAATTAAAATAGAAACAGTCGCTTTAATATTGTCGCTGGGAAATTAGTCAAATAACTTTAAGTTTTATTTAAAAATAGACAAAACATTTATTACCCTGCCGAGATGTATGTGATGACAATTTAGCTATTTAAATACGATTTTTACCGTTAAGATAAATATAAGAAAACTCTAGCCAATTACTTTGGTAATGGAGAAATCCGAGTACTCCATGTACGAAGAAGTTGGCGTGCATGCCCGGATGTGTGAAACTCTTGCCATGCGTGTGACCCAATCCTTGACCGGCCACGCAACACAGCACAATATGTGCGATAGAGGCATTAACGTCATCCTCCTGGCCCATAATACAACAAACATCGAAATATAAATTTACATATATAAAATAAAAGCAAAATCTTAAATATTAATTGTCAAATTAAAATCAAGCTCGTAAAAGTTAAAAAGAATTGATGATACAAAAGAGTTTGCAGTTTTAACTTTGATGAAAGGAGTTCAGAAAAACTATTCATATGTGAATCAAAAAGATTTTGCTGTTAAAAGATATATATAAATTTATTTTAAAATACTCAATAAAATATTTCTTTATTTTCTTAAATTCGTTGAAAAAAAAATATCATTATAAATAAGTCAAAGACAATTAATTCATAGATAAAGCATAAAAGACATTACCAATAGACATTTTGTATAATCTACACAGCTATATTCTTCAAAAAACGAAAGGCTTCCATTTTGCTGGTAAATGCGTAAGAATTTACAAAAATACCGTACTTATTGTGTTTAGTGACATTAATTCGACAAATTCGCAATATACGCAATAAATAGTTTAGAATGGCGGCCAGCGACTCAGGGACGGATGAGTCACTTTATCCCATCGCGGTACTTATCGACGAATTAAAAAATGAGGATGTTCAACTCAGATTGAATTCTATTAAGAAGCTATCAACCATCGCTCTGGCTTTGGGCGTGGAGAGAACAAGATCAGAACTCGTTCCGTTCCTGACTGAGACTATATATGATGAAGATGAAGTGCTTTTGGCTCTCGCTGAACAACTTGGTGAGCTTTTATTAGTATACGAACGAAAATATAATAGATTTCATCTATCAAAATATATACATAGATTATCATTTTAAATTGATAAAGTAAATAGTAATTTTTTATTAAGGTTGATACCGATGACACTTGTTTATATTATAGTGATAACTAGCTGTGGCCGCGACTTCGTGCGCGTGTGGTTTACAAAAAGAAAATCTAAAATAAAAGTATCCTAAGCCTTTTAAAAGGAGCTATTAATAATTATACGACTTACCTGCCAGTGCAACTCGTCTTATTTGGTTTAGCCTATTATAGATCAAGACCAAATATTCAGACAAACAAAAATTAAAAATAATATTTTCATATATGTACAAAGACTATACTCCAATTTTACTTATTTGTATATGTCATTCGAATTATTGAAAAATTCACTTCTTACAAGCTTCTCGGCTAGTTTAATTATAACTATATAAGTTATTGATCTTAAAGTTTATCAATGCCCTGAAAACATTTATAGTTTGTTTTTATAAATACCTCCGTTTTTTAAATATTATCAAGACCAACTTGAAGATGATTGTAGTCAAATACTTAATATCTTATTAACAAGTCATTATATAAATAGTAGCTATATTTAAATATCAGGTACATAACCAAGAAAGTTTAAAATATCACCGCTAAATAAATATATGTTCATATTTTGACATAAACAGATAGAATTCAATATTCAGGAATTGTCATTAACTAATTGCTTCAATAAACAAAAACATAATTCTACTGATGAAGTCAAAATATAAACATACAGTAGACATTTATATACTAAATATATGTTTCTAACGCAGGCAACTTTATCAATCTTGTTGGCGGGGGAGAATATGCTCATTGTCTTTTGCCCCCACTGGAGTCCCTCGCTACGATCGAAGAAACCGTTGTCAGGGATAAGGCTGTGGCCTCACTTAGAGCTGTGGCCGCCCATCATTCACCACAAGCTTTAGAACAGCATTTCGTGCCATTAGTACAACGTCTCGCTGGCGGAGATTGGTTTACATCTCGGGCCTCCGCTTGTGGATTATACAGGTTAATAGATCATTCTATTAGTTATTATTGTATAATGTAATGCATGACTTAAATAGAAATTGATTTTCATACTGAGAAAATTGGTATAGTCTTTGTCATCGGGCTATCAGAGCCCACTGCTGAGCAAAGGCCTCTTCTCACATGGAGAAGGTTTGAGCATTAATCACGACGCTTGCTCAAGACGGGTTGGTGATTTCTAATTAATAATTGTGAAATTATAGGTCCAGGTTTTCCTTCACTGTGTATAGCCTTCTATGTAACTACTCTAATATTATGATGATGTGTGGTTGTGGTGGCCTAAAGTTTAAAGGTCATCCTCTCGTGCATGAGGGCGCGGATTCGAAACCTGGCAAATACCAATGTGATTTTTCGGAGTCATATGTACTTTCAAAGAATATTTATACACCACTGACAGACAGTAAACGAAAACATTGTAAGGAAACCTGGACAAATTATAATTTCAAATTATAAGTTTGACAACAACCCGTCTTGAGCAAGCGTGGTGATTAATGCTCAAACCTTCTCCATGTGAGAAAGAGGCCTTGCTCAGCAGTATGCTCTAAAAGGCTCATGATGTTGAAGATAGCAAAAAAACCTCAAAATAAAAGAACTCTAATATTATAATATCAATTTCAGTGTCTGTTACCCACGAGTCAGCGCACCAGTGAAGGCTGAGCTCCGGGAACATTTCCGTGTTCTCTGCCAAGATGATACACCTATGGTGAGGCGAGCGGCCGCTTTCAAGTTGGGAGAGTTTGCTAGGGTCGTTGAAGTGGAGTATGTTAAGAGCGATCTCATACCGATGTTCATACATCTGGCTCAGGTATGTAAAATATTTTTAATCATTTTATTGAATATATAATAATCATATGTTTGAGATACTATTTAAGTCTTGATTCTTAATGTTTAGCATTACTCCTAGTTATATCTTAAAAAAAGTCTGTAGCCAGTAGTTATGGTTTTTGTATACAAGTTGATATTTAAATTTCGCCATTACAAATAACAATGGTTCAGTATTATGTTTAATTATAATCAGTTATAAAAATAATTCTACGGATTATAGTATATTATAATTAATAAGTCACAGATGGCGCCACTTGTAACACATACTTCTAGTATGTAACATTTGAATCTCTAAAGAAATGCAATCATTACTTACAGAGGTAGTTGATAAAGAAAATAATACTATTGTTTTATTATGACAGCTATATATTGACTAATATAAAATATTAAATACTTATGCTTCAGTCATTTCAATGACCTATACATATATATGGTTGTTACTGAAATAAACGGTTCTCATAACTTAATATAATTTCTATGATACTTAGACTTATCTATAATTATCAACTCATAAAAGCAAACATACAATTATGAATAAATACTATAAGAAAATATTCTGAAGTGAGTAGCTTACAAGAAGATAAATCTATATTATCTATATATGTATATATAAAAATGAATTGCTGTTTGTTAGTCTCACTAAAACTCGAGAACGGCTGAACGGATTTATCTCATCTTAGTCTTGAAATGTTCGTGGAGATTCAGGAAAGGTTTAAAAGCTGAAAAAATTGATTTATTTCCGGGAAAACCCCAAAAAACAGCCTTTTACTATTTCCCATACAAACATATTTTTTTTTGACATTAGATTTGACAACTAACTAATATGTCAATCATTCTGTCGTACTTAAAAACACAGAGATTTATGGCTTACAGGTAAACTCCAAAAATATAAATTAAAAAAACGTAACAGATATTTCTTGATTATAGAGCGATACGAAGTTCGCCGGGTCTTCTAGTATCTTCTAAAATGCAATTGTATCAACTTTTTAATGGTGCAAAACTAATAACACTTGAATTATCTTCAAGTTTTAATACTCCCAAGTCCATGAGTATAATATAATTGTATGTATGTAAATATATACGTAATTGATTCATCAACAAATGCATTAATTTTCTAAATCTGGTCTAATCTAATGATTCATGGTTGTTTGAAATGAAAACGACAGAATTTTTGTGTTAAACACACAGCTTTTTTATTTTAATCAATTCAATATGTACAGTTACTTTTAGAAGAGTAGGTGGTAGTGAAACAAAGAATCAACATTGATATTTGAATGACATATTCATCCTTTCATTCAAGCCAGCTTCAATATTAGGAATACATATTTCCATATTAATAATTTTAGAGTTGGTAGTGTCTAACTGTGGTCAAGTTACTACATCTCGAAGATGTGCTGGCTCGACCGGGGAAGTACCTTCTCACAGAAGATCGGCGTGAAGTATTCTTTAATTCGTACGATGAGTGAGGGAGACCGTTGCCATTTCCTTTTTCCAATATTTCCTCTCTTTTTCCCAATCAAGAATGATAATGCATCCGCAATTTTTTTTATTCATATGTCCATGGGCGATAGTAACTACCTCCATCATATAGATTCTCTACTCGTTTGTCACCCTTAATACTAGCTGCGCCCCGCGGTGTTACACGCTTATTTCCGGGATGTAAAGTAGCCTATGTGTTATTCGTGGACGTCAGCTTCCTGTATACAAAATGTTATCAAAATACGTTCAGCCGTTTGAGCGTGAAGAAGTAACAAACATACACACACACTCACAAACTTTCGCAATTATAATATTAGTATGTATATATAAGTAAAAAAATACAACAACATTACTGGTGCAGCAAAAGACGTCAAACAAAAATAACAGAGTATACGCAATAGCGTTCGAATAACATTCTTTTTTATGTATATAAGTACTAACACTAGTCTGAAATAAACTTTGTCTTTTTCTAATTCTGATTTTTCTTCTCTCTATTTAACGACATAAAATGCACAGTCCCTTCAGTGTTGTTATATAGAGTTTACACTGTATTTGTCATCAGCCTATCAGAAGCCCACTGCTGAGCAAAGGCCTCTTTCTCACATGGAGAAGGTTTGAGCATTAATCACCACGCTCGCTCAAGACGGGTTGGTGATTTCAAACTTATAATTATGAAACTATAAGTCCAGGTTTCCTCACGATGTTTTCCTTCACCGTAGTTCAGTGATGTCTAAATAATCAGAAAGTACATATGACTCGGAAAAATCACATTGGTACTTGCCAGGATCGAATCCACGCCGTCATGCATGAGAGGCGGGCCTTTTAACCACTTGGCCACCACTGACTCTATTTAATATCGAATATTTAATATTTCCAGGACGAGCAGGACTCTGTACGTCTGTTAGCAGCGGAGGCGTGTGCCGCTGTGGCTGCCCTACTGCCGCCCGAAGATATGGAACAGCTGGTGATGCCGACCGTGAGGGCGCGCGCTGGAGACACGTCGTGGAGGGTGCGCTTCATGGTGGCTGAGAAGTTAGTACTGGCTTATAAAATATAGTATAATATGAGGGTAGATCAGTAATATACAGGATATTTATCAGCAGTGTTATACTATTGTGATGTGATCCATAGGTTGATTGGTATATATACTAGCTTTCCGAACAAGAACATTTGTTCCTGTCAAAACAATTTACAAGCACATTGTTGTTTATGGTTGCTTTTGATACGAAGACAAACAAAATTTGAGCATTTTAGGAAAACAATAGAAAAATTTATTTATAAAATATTCATTATTTTTTATTTATTAAACACTAGCTTTCCGCCCGCAGCTTCGCCGGCGTGAAGTTCGGTTATATCGAGTTTCCAAGAGAACCTTTCAAAAGTCTGTGATAAAAACTATCCGATGTACTTACTCAAGGTCAACTCTATCTCTGTACCAAATTTCATTAAAATCAGTTCAGTAGTTTAGGAGTGAAAGCGTAACAGACAGACAGACAGAGTTATTTTCGCATTTATAATATTAATAGGATATAGACTTAATGTATTGTTGCATGATACTTGGTAAGGTTTTATCATATAGTGGGGATATTATTATGTATGTGAATGTATAGTCAGTGCAACTAAAAGTGATTACTTGTGATTTTTATCTGTAACAGTAACAAAACTAATGGGTCTAATTTAACTGGTCGCAATACTTAAAGTACACATTTGATAACATCCAATAATGTTCAGGGTATTGTGCCGTTTCTTTGTCTGTCTAGTCTCTTGCTAATTTACGTGCCGGCTAATATAATCTGGAATTAATAAGTTATATTTTTTTTTTATTACATTAATATTATATGCATTGTGGAATTTATAAGATTTTTCGTTGTTTATAATAATGTTGGTAAAATTTATTGCTAGTATCAGTTTTATATATTATTTTATTATAAAAGATAATTTACTAGTATGTATGTATGTATTGAACAAAAATATAATATACATACATGAATTTTTGTTGAATAAATCTAAACTGTCTTCAGAGGAAAAAGGAAATAATATGTAGGGTTACTGGCATTAATTATTGATTATTATTTATAAGTAAATTATATAGAGAACCAGAGGTTATAAAAAAAACTACGAAACTCACTACTACACTACATATAAGTATATGTTTATTACTCACTACACATAAGTATATGTATATTATAATAAGAGCTACATATTTAAACTTATAACCTACACCTAAGACTACATGATTGCCTCGATGTTAGTATATCAATACCATTCCATAGCTTGTGTGGTATCAGGAATCTTCTGGTTCACACGGCTTGGTGTTCGTTCAGCGGAGTCAACGGCGTCACTCATTATATGATATTTTATACATACAACGACGTTACCCTGGCGTAGTTCATTTATTTTTTTATATTAAATACTTATTGTTTGAATAGTAATAATAAATTTAAACCATCAATATGATGTACACAATGTTACTCGTTCAATTAATTTTCCATAAATTGATTCTATTTTGAATAACAGAATATTAATAAAAGTTTATAATAATGAGATCTAAGATCACGGTTGCTGTAAAGTAGCCGAAACGTTGAGAGTATGTAGTTTATAGTCAAAAATAAAAAATCGCGTATTAAATCCGAAAATATTAGTTTGATTTAAATGTTTATAATGTTATAGGTTTGTGGAGCTGCAACAAGCCGTGGGTCCGGAGCTAGCTCGATCAGACCTCGCGCAGATTTTCCAGGCATTGCTCAAAGACAGCGAGGCCGAAGTTCGAGCGGCAGCCGCCGCTAAGGTTACTACAAAATTATATCTTACTAGCTGCGCCCCGCGATGTTACCCGCGGATTTCGGGGATGTGAAGTAGCCTATGTGTTATTAATGGACGTCAGCTTCCCGTATACAAAATTTTATCAAAATCGCTTCAGCCGTTTGAGCGTCAAGAAGTAACAAATGTACACACACACTCATAAACTTTGGCAATTATAATATTAGTAGGATATATTTATTTCAATTGCTAAAATATAAATCGGTTCTTTTGAGTCAATCTCTAAAGTATAGCTAATATACGACGTGAGATTTTCAAATATAATTATGATATTCTCGTCTGCCCGTGATCACAGTTGCTGAAAAGTAGACGGAACGTCGGGAGTATGTAGTTGTAATCAAAAATAAAAACGCGAAGTAAAATCCGAAAATATTAGTTTCATAATTATGATATTTTTAATCACATTATTTCTCCCACAGGTCAAAGACTTCTGTATGAATTTGGATAAAGCTCACCAGGAACACATCATTATGACCATGATACTGCCACAGATCAAAGAACTGGTCTGCGATCCAAACCAACACGTTAAATCCGCGCTCGCCTCAGTCATCATGGGATTAAGCCCCATCGTTGGAAGACAGAACACCATAGAACACCTCCTGCCTCTGTTCCTCTCCCAACTCAAAGACGAATGCCCCGAAGTCCGCCTCAACATCATATCAAACTTGGAATGTGTGAACGAGGTCATTGGAATACAACAGCTAGTACAATCCCTTCTACCAGCCATCGTAGAATTGGCTGAAGATACGAAATGGCGTGTGAGACTCGCTATCATTGAACATATGCCGCTATTGGCCGGGCAATTGGGACAAGAATTCTTCGACGATAAACTAACTGGGCTCTGTATGTCTTGGTTATTCGATCATGTGTACTCAATCCGCGAAGCAGCGACATTGAATTTAAAGAAACTCGTCGAACAATACGGCGCGCCCTGGGCAGAAGCTAATGTCATACCCAAAGTACTAGCTATGTCCCGCGAACAGAACTACTTGCATAGAATGACCTATCTATTCTGTATAAACGTACTATCCGAAGTATGCGGTAAAGATATCACGACAAGAGTGCTTTTGCCCACAGTACTTTCAATGGCTGACGATAATGTTGCTAATGTGAGATTCAATGTTGCCAAAACCTTACAAAAGATGGCGCCTTTCCTCGACCCAGCCGTCATACAGCCGCAAGTGAAACCGGTTTTGGAGAAATTAAACGTTGATCCCGATGTTGATGTTAAATATTTCGCATCCGAAGCCATAGCCGGGATTGCCGGCTGATTTCTTCGTCTAATATCTTCTAGTTTGTATTTATTCTAAAGCCAGACCTTCATCATACCAACGAGACGTTCATTCCAGTTTGAAACAGCAATAGGAATCACTTGCGGCATTTAACTTGCACTTTCGAAATTGTAAAACATATTGAATATAGATAATTAAAACCATCGCTGTTTTATTTTTTAAATTATCCTTAGCTTGTAGATGAATGAATGTTTACTCCTGTGTAAATCAGTTGGCTTAATTATAATAAAACACCCAGTATCTGAATTAGTTTAATGTATTTTAAATCAAATATATCTTAATTATTATATTGCAAACTAGTGCTTATATTTTTTTAACCTTAGACATGAATAGGAAACATTTTCTGTCGTTGAGCTGGGTAGTGGAAACAATTCGTATCAAACGAAAGTAGCCTATAGGATGTGTGATCATTAGGTTTACCTTTGTGTATCCCTTTCTTTGATTATTCTTCAAGACAAGTAAGGAAATCGTTACTAGTAAATTATGCTAAATTGATCTTACTTTGTTACGAACAATGATAGATCTGTTCGCAAACAGTCATTTTTTTTTTATTATGTAAATGAATAAACATATATAAACGAATATAATTAAAACCTAACCAGTAACCTTATCAACATCTTAATTATTAAGTCATTGAAATGTGATACATATCATAAAACTTGTTTATTAAGTTTTCCAACAGCAAACAGTTTTTTATTGATTAGACTCTAATATCATCTCCCTGTGTTGATATTACGAACGTAATATAAAGCACATTTTCTTTATTCAATACAATAAATCCGTTGTACATGAAAGATCGGCTCAGGAACTGCTAAAAGGTCTAAATCGTTTTTTAAACCAGCGAAGTTGATGGGAATAATATTTCCTACATCAGAAACCGATGGCAAGGAATTTCAGAAGTTGGAGCACTCATTGAAATTTTGTCATTTTTAGAATAAGTGTCTAATCTTTAATTTTTGTATAAAACAATACAAGCAGCTACATTCAAGTACGACGCTGTCTATTCCATATGTTAGTTCAGATCCATTTGCATCATTATCATATGCATATTATCTCTGGGTTAATATCTCCACCTAACTATATTATATAGTTTTCATAAATATTTTAATCAAAGTTAAGATGGTCGAATATAACTATAATAACACTTTTTGTGTTTCTCATCAGACATTCATATATTTAAACAATTTTTTATCTATAATTATTGTTTACTCGGTAACAATGGATGGTATGGTAAAAAGAACAATTAGAAAATTATGAATTAAAAAGTATTAAGTAATGTTCAACGTTCAAAAATGTTCTGTAAATGGAAAATTAACTTTCGAGTCTCGTATATTTTTTATGCAATGTTTATTTTATAATTATAACAATCAAAACAAGAATTACTTGCAAAACTGCAAGAGTAGTACCTTTTTCCTCACTTTACACGTACAGGCCAAAAAAATATAACGATATAATATTTTCGTAATCTATCCATGTAACAGATAAATCACGTTTATCTCAAGGTAGTGATTGTATTAAGGTCGAACGTAATCTCAAACTCTTATTCATGATTAAGTAAAGATTTTTATTCATATTGTTCAAGATTATTAGACTATATATCGGGAGGTAGCCACTCATATTACACAAATAAATCAACAATATCCAATAAATAAATAAAACATAAACTTCTATATCTTTATTTCATTAAAACAACAATCCTAATTCACTTATTATCATTGAATATAGAATTTGAAGAGTGAAAGAGGAAATTGGAATGTAACATTTTGTTACTCGGAGACATTTTAATACTATTTACATAAGCATAATATGTTACCATCACTGCTATCAAATTTAATAAACAATTATTTCACCGAACTGACATAATAATCTGTATGTACATGTATAAGCGGTTAAACATTTCATAAGCAACACGATTCCATATAATTTAGTACTTGAAACATGTCAACTATCAACAACTTACTAATAAACAGTATAATATCTTACATTGAACCGGTCAAAGTATAGTTATAGACCGCGGTTGTACGTGGTATAGTTTAATGACGCGAATCTCTAGGGTAGAACTCAGCAAGTATAGAAGCAGGGATACGTTTGAGCATCTCCTTAGGGAAAATACGAAGCAGCTGCCAGCCGATATCCAAAGACTCGAATACGGTACGGTTCTCATAGTTACTCTGGAATTAATATATTTATTATTATTACTTAGAGTATAGAAATGAATGGTGATTTTATTTTGTATGAAGATAGAATGTCAATGATAAAAATCTGTATCGGTGAAGTATGTAGATAAGATAATACATAAGATTGATGATGATATACATATAGTAAATAATTTATGAGTATATATATAATATATATTATATTATAAGCAACCCTTTCTCTTTGATTTATTGAAACACTCTCCAATTAATTAGCTTTATAGAGATAAATAGATCTGTAGTCTTATGTAGAGTCTTTCTATTGCTCTGTAAATTCGGTAGCGTGAGTAATTTTATAACCATATTTTAAAATTCTATGAGGTAGCAATCACTTTGTATTAGTATCACTAAAAACCTATTACTTTAGAAATTTGTAAGAATTATTAAATTGTTCGTTTGTAATTAGTATTCTATTCTATTATAATTTTTTTAGTTATTTATTCTTCCGAACTTAAATATATATATTTATATATAATAATTATAATTATTACCTGAGTGATGAAGTTCTTCTCAAACTTAGTAAGGAACTCCAAGTACAGCAAGTCGTCGGGCGTGAGAGCCTCCTCTCCTACTACAGCCTTCATGGCCTGCACGTCCTTACCGATGGCGTAGCAAGCGTACTACAACACAAACACAAGTATTATTATATATTATAAAGGAATAATGGTAATTTTACATATATAAATACTCTTAAGTAATGGTGAAATGTTTTACAAAGGTCTATATTATTGCTAATATCTATATATTAAAATTACATTAAATTAAAACTGATGATCATATGAAATAAATTTCACTGTTCATAGATTATGAATTTTATATTGTCGTGGATAGTGCGAATCCGCGTAACTAGCAATGGATAATTCCGCGTATCTACATTGGAAGCAGATTATTATCAGATGAGAGTTTAAGTTGAAATATTTTCTATATTAACGACTTTTAATGTAATTTTTTCACAATTAGTAATAAATTAAACAATAAATAATCAGATACGCGGAATTTGCACTATCCCCGACGATATATAAATCTTATATCCTACATAATGTTTATGGGTATAATCGTTTAATATCAATTAGTGCATAGCCCACCAGCTGGTTGGACACGTCGGAGTGGTCCTTGCGGGTCATGCCCTCTCCGATGGCGGACTTCATGAGACGCGACAGAGAGGGCAGCACGTTCACTGGCGGGTAGATCTGACGGTTGTGGAGCTGACGGTCCACGTAGATCTGGGGAATAACATATGTATAATACTTAGTACAGTATAATAATTATGATAGGACATTTATGGTGAAATCTATAATATATTTAATGTCTATGAATGAAAAAACTTTTTAGAATCTCTGATGTTATATGAATGTAAGTAATATTTTCGGATATTACGCATTTTTTTATTATTTTAAGTACATGCTATCGACGTTTCGGTTACTTTGCATCAACTATGATTACATTCAGACGAGATGAAAATCTCTGTCAGTTAGTCTTGTTACTTGTCATATAACGTCAACGATTTTTTAATTTTCTATCGCATATCTCCGATTTTATAGTTGCATAAAATTTTAACAACGAAATTGTATCCAGAAATAGCAATTATTTAACCATATATAGATTAAATATGTACTCCTATTTTGTATTACTATTGTTAAAGACACAAAATATCTCTTAGTATTATAACCCATCTATCTAAATATTTTCCGGTATAGTTGTATATATTCGGGTCTAACCTGTCCCTCAGTAATATAACCCGTTAAATCAGGGATGGGATGGGTGATGTCATCGTTGGGCATAGTCAGGATGGGTATTTGAGTAATAGACCCATTCCTGCCTTCAACACGACCAGCTCGCTCGTAAATGGTAGCCAAATCGGTGTACATGTAACCTGAAATATATTATTAATTAATATTAATATTAAACAATATCCCTACTAATATTATAAATGCGAAAGTAACTCTGTCTGTCTGTTACGCTTTCACGCCTAAACCATTGAACTGATTTTAATGAAATTTGATACAGACAGCGTTGACCTTGAGGAAGAACATAGGATAGTTTTTATCCCAGAATTTTGAAAGGTTCTCTTGGAAACGCGATATAACCGAACTCCACGCGGGCGGAAAGCTAGTTACATATATATATATTGGTTGGAAAACTTATAATTTCTATGGCTATACTTTTTGGTTTAGAGAAAAAAATACATTTTGTCTATCTTAGGCATGTGAGGAAAACTTTTTTTTTTTTTTCTATAATATAGTTTCTATCATTAAACATTTATATGGAACACTTAATTCACGGAATTGAGTAACTATTTTATAATTTATTTAGTAGAGTGACTGGAACGAATTGTCCTTTAAGTCATGGGTTTTATTTCTGTAATTTTTTTTTAATTCTATGTTTTACATATAATATAATATATTTAAATTGTCATACAGTATTATAATATACATCTTCAACGCATGTACAACACCTCTCATATTGCAGATGTGTGTGTATATATGTATAACATCTTTCCCAAAAGAGGGTTGATGTCAGGCAGGCGTTCGTAAAAACATTTAGCCAAAACTATTCACAACATATAAGGCAGACCCTGGCTAAAGCTGATAAATTGCCAGGTAGAATATATAACATACCGGGGAAACCTCTTCGTCCGGGCACCTCCTCACGGGCGGCGGATACTTCACGCAGAGCTTCAGCGTATGAAGACATGTCAGTAAGGATGACCAACACGTGTTTCTGTTAACATTACATTACAATAAACTATGAGTTACATATATTTATTAGTTAACTATGATTGAATATCAACTTTATTATTATGAGTTTGTTTTTGTAAGCTTTTGTTACTTAATTAGTTTATATGTTGAGCGAAAGCTTGACATTTCTATAAACAAGTATGTATGTGTGCATGTCAATGTATGTATGCATTTGTTTTTGTAAACTTTTGTTATTTAATTATTTTATATGTTGAGCGAATCTTGACATTTCTATAAAAAGTGTGTATGTGTGTGTGCGTGATACAGTGTGCGTGAGAATGTTAATGTGTGTGTGCGTGTCGTGTTGTGTATGATTGCTCTTGTGTCACAGTGTGTATGTGTGTGTGTATGTATATACCTCGCACTGATAAGCCAAAAACTCAGCGGCAGTAAGAGCCAGACGCGGCGTGATGATTCTCTCGATGGTGGGGTCATTGGCCAGATTAAGGAACAGGCACACATTCTCCATAGAACCGTTTTCCTCGAAGTCCTGCTTGAAGAAACGAGCCGTCTCCATGTTGACACCCATAGCAGCGAACACTATGGCGAAGTTGTCCTCGTGATCATCCAAAACTGACTTACCGGGCACCTGGAATTATTATATTTAATAAATAACATGAAGTAAAGTAAGGAAATCAAGTAAAGTATGACCTCTTTATTGTTACTTGTATATGGCAAAGTTCTAAAGAAAAGCTAATAGATGGCAGCACGGTCCTAGAAATACAGTTAATAAATAACTTGAGAGTTTTAAATCAAGCAGTATAACAGTGTTATATATGGTGAAGTTGTAAAGAAAAGCTAATACATGGCAGCACTATCTTAATATTACAGTTAAATATGGCATCTTTAGAGTTCACGGATGTTAGCACAATCAAGATGTGACTAAAATATATAATAAGATTAATTCAGTGTTCAGTCTGATAATAGTTTAATACGTAAAGCAACTGCAATGTGATATTACAGAGGCTGCATATAAATACTGTTCCTATCTATGAATATTATATTAAAGTTTAATTGAATCCATACTTGGTGTTCTGAACCATATTTAAGCCTCTAAGCAGATGTTGAAATTGCTTCACTCATAATTAAAATAGTACAAACTTATATTAAAATTATTTTTGTTGGGTACATGAAATTACCAGAAAAAAAATGCTATTGTGAGAAATACTTAAAAATAATTTTTCCTATATATTTATTTGATAGAATTTATAATTTTTATACATAATTATAATACTATATCATAATTATTTTAAATCCTAACCTTGACAAGACCGGCCTGTCTACAGATCTGTGCCGCAATCTCATTGTGAGGCAAACCAGCGGCTGAGAAGATGGGGATCTTCTGACCGCGAGCGATCGAGTTCATCACGTCGATGGCAGATATACCTGGAGGAAAAATGAATTAATAAAATATATTAATATATGGACATAAGTTGAATGCTGCTAGCTCTGATAGTATGGCAATACGAGGACAAATAAAAATAACTTGAGGGTAATAGGTGTTAAGATGAAATAAAAATCTTAACATTATATGAAAAATCATATTCAAAAGAAAGGGTTAGGAAATTTTCCTCGACATATATTCAATATTGCTAGATAGTTGTTATTTAATACTTTTATACAAATCCAAATATATGAAATTTTTGATTCAATATCTTCTACAGCAATTATTACTAAGACAAAATCCTCAATAATATAGGGTGTCCGGTTTTTTTAACCAAATTTCCGGCCAATGCTAAACATGCATTCAGATCTTTTTTTATTGAAGCGAGAAAAAAATATGAAAGCTATGTATATGTATATAATATATTGTCAAACTAACCAGTCTGGATCATTTCCTCGGGGTATATACGTGACCATGGGTTTATGGGCTGTCCCTGGATATCCAAGAAATCCTCGGCAAGGATTGGAGGTCCCTTGTCTATGGGCTTGCCGGAACCGTTGAATACACGACCTGGATTAAACATTATGTATAAAGATAATGTAATAAATCACATAATAATACTTAACATATTTATAGAAATAGATGAATTGAAAATATCTTCTCGTATTATTAATATTAATTTTTCTCTCTAAATGCATATATCTGTCTGTTTGTTACAGCGGAACTCAAAAACGGCTGCACTGATTTTGTTTTGACCTAAACTGTCAGATAACTGTCAGTACTAATGTAACTTTATAACAGATTATATTTATTTTTATTTCTATAAAACATTGAAAAATAAAACCTATGATTTTACACCTAGTAGTAACATAGATTTTACCGAGTCATATGTACTTTCTAAGAGTATTCGACACTGCTGACTGACGGTAAAGGAAAATATCGTGAGGTAACCTAAACTTATGATTTCAAATCATTATTTAAAATCACCAACCTGTCTTGAGCAAGCGTGGTGATTAATGCTCAAACCTTCTCCATGTGAGAAGAGGCTATGTTCAGCAGTGGGCTCTGATAGGCTGATTATGATAATGTACATATAAAATGTTTTATTTGCCTTCATTAATCCATATATAACTCACCCAACATATCTTCGGACACCGGAGTCCTCAAGATGTCACCGGTGAACTCACACAGGGTGTTTTTAGCATCAATACCCGAAGTACCCTCGAACACTTGGACCACGGCCTTGTTGCCGCTAACCTCCAACACCTAAACAAAAACGGGGGATACAACTTAACTTATAGCTTATGTGGAATGATTAGGATTTATGACAACACCCTGTATGTATATGGTAATGTAAGGTGTATACACATATCAACAAAATGTTTGTTAAAATTGTTTACAATAAATTAAAGTATTTTTATTCCCTTTTTTATTATTTTATGTATAACTTTGCATTTCAAGTAGTTTTCTTAGAATTTTTTAGTGAAGGATGAAATATTAAAGTCTACTAAATTATATGTAGTATATTATATACGTAGCAATTTGAACTCAAAATCAAATTTACAAATGATATCATATGCAAGTATGTGTATGAATATACATCTTTATAATTATGAGGCATATAAATTGCAATAATTTAAAAATGATTAATATAATTCTTCAAACAAAACAATTTGATATGTGACAAGAACACAATAATATATAGGTCAACTTAAAAAATCAGAGATAGAAAAATTTTGTTTGAAAGTTACCTGAAGACATTTTAATTGTAATAGCTAATATTTAAGAGACTAAAAATGTTTAAAAATGAACAAAAATATGAGGGGAACTCTGTGTAATAATATATTTTTAATTCCATTAACAATCTATTACATACATAAAAAATTTAGACTTACCTATGTTTGATAACATATCAAACATGTATATATGTGTATATATGACTAAACTTTGAACATAATTATTATCAAGCAAATTATTAAGTCATAAAATTTTTAATAAATATATGCAACAATAATTAAATAACTATAGTGTTTTCTTTTGTTTCATTTTTTCTGTACAAAACTGGCAAACAGAACAACATACATACAGCCATATCCATAGAGCATAGAAACTTTAAATCCTTGATTTATGTATGTCATAGTGTATTCAATAAAACTAACTAAGTAGCAAACTGAATGACACCAACTAATATAATAAAGTACTCTACCTACATTACAGTTGATATCATATTATTTAACAATACCGAGCAAGCATAACTAATACATAACACATGTATTAATATAAAGTTATTTATTACCTGTCCTGATCGTAGAGTGCCATCGGCAAGTCTCAGCTGTACGATTTCAGAGAACTTGGGGAATTTCACCTCGTCGAGAATGACCAAAGGCCCGTTTACACCCGACACCGTCTTGTATGCTGCGGAAAGTTGTATAATTAAGATTTGGTGCAATTTAAACCACATTCGTGGAAATTAATATATACTGTATGTCTGATGATAGATGCTAAGCCAAGGTTACAGAGGCCTACATCATGATGGGTATTGCTTATACGCTGGTAACTCTTCAAGTGTCTTGAGTTACTATGAGTATAAATAAGTTACTATGAGTAAATATGAGTTACATTACAAAAGAGTATTTCTTAATATAACGAACAAATGTATAAATATTCATTATCTTATTCTTATGTTATTGACATACTATTAAGGTTGATTAATTAAATTTTATTTGGACAAATTTTAAAAATTTCAAATATCTGTTACATGAGATGTCTAATAAGACTTTTTTTCTTAAAAATGTTTATGTAACAGTTGTATGGGACTAAAATGAAGCACTTGTATGATCTTACACAATGAAATTACATACAAAAATTGAATAATTTTTCAGGATTTAAACATTTATTAATAACTTGATATACAGTTTGTATAATAAATTTGTATAAAACATATCAAGTTTCTTTATAAAAATACATTACATAAAAAATTTGATCATGTGATATTTTTTGAATAAATTTTCGAATTTTAAATATCACGTTAATCTAATTTCTTTGATTCAAGAAAATAAACAGATATTTGAGAAGGTTTATAAGCAAGGAGTTGGTATATTTTTACCACTTCTTTCTTCGAATCACGAAGCAAATGTCGAATAGAAATATAATAAAAACTAAAGATCCTTATATGCTTTAATGTATTTTATGTGAAATACAAAGGAATCTTTCATCTATATATAATATAGTATAAAGCTCTTTTATAAGGATTTAGAACAAATCTTCGAACATACTATGATAAGAAGTCAGGTCACAAGATTAAATCTAATAAGATTTTAAGGTCTACGCCCAAATTCGGCAGACGAATTTAACAATCAAAACAGGGAAAACTCTAAAAACAAAACATTACAAGACCCGTTCAAATGTAAAATCAATAATTGACATCACGGGTTGCCAAAGTGATATTAGAACTAAATACGTAAAAATGTCGATTGCTTATAATAAGTTACTTACTCAGACGGGGTTGGGATATGAAGTCGCGGGATACGACCAGGGCATGTTCTTTGTCTGCCTGGGAAGCTGATAGAGTTTTTGCCATTTTACAGTTTTCTGATGGCAGGCCGCTCAATAAAACACTAAACTGCGCTGCCTCCTCGCCCGAAAACTGACGAATGGATGAATTGTCTATGCGACTTCACGTGCTGTCACGTGATCTATCACAAGATAAAAGTTGCCAGTAAATGACTGAAAGGAATCACTGAAATCATTATAAAACCTATGAGATGGAAAGATTTCAAAGGTGATTGCATATTCTGAAAATTCTCAAACTCGCAGCCAAATCATATAGAGCTTAAATAACTATTTATCATATTTTGTGTACTAAGAATAAACTTAATAGTTCTGATTTGAAAAACTAAACCTACAATTATTATACTATACTTATAATTGTACTGAGCTTTAAAATTTTAAAATATTTATACACTTAAAAATTTTAGCAATCTAAATAAATGGCAGTTCTGGTTTGTAACTAAATGAAATTCTCTATATTTTTATACCTCAATTACATAAAAAGAAAGGAGTAACCGGTTTGAAAGTAAGAATAATGTGTGGTTTAAGATTTCTATCAAACAGACCCTATTTAAATAATTTCTATAACGATGAAAAAAACTATTTAATCAAATAAGAAAATACAATAAGACCCCTGAATTTTCAGAACGTTACAATCTGTGTCGCTATGTTAATTAAGCGATAGATGTTTTATAAAACAGTAACCTTATCTATTAAGTATTAACAATTTATTGCGGCCCAAAACACAATTATCAGATTTTTATCCAGTTCGCACGATTTCTTTAAATAATTATGAAATTTAATTTGATTTAACTTTTAATTTACAGTCAGCTAAGGGGCCATCCATAAAGTACGTCACACGTAAAGGGGGTGGGAGGGGGTCGACAAAGTGTGACATGCTGTGACAAGGGGTGGGAGGGGTCCTAAGTTTCGTGACATCACATTTCAAAATCTAGAGCTACTAATCGCGTAATTTGAAATATTAATTAAAATCTTTAAAACTGAGCGCGTCATCACATGAATTACTATCAATATTTAAGGAGAATACTCGGTACATGATTCTCATTCGAATTATGTAAAAAAAAGGTACTTAATTTTTGACTAAATTTCCGTATAAATAAATAAAGTGAGGACACGTTCCAAGTGTTCCAAGTGTGGACGCGTGCTAGCGGCGTGCTGATACAACACCACGCCGCCAAACGCGCGTGTGTGTGTGTGTATACCTAACCTGTAGGGTGTTCACACGATGCGTAATGAATTACATAACTTTTGGTTAACTTTACTTAGAAGTTTATTAATATTTATGTTATATTAATTTTTATTTTGTCATATATAATCGTCAAATATCACGTCCTCAAGTATCGATAGTAATTCACCAGTCACCCTGTATATATTCATTAGTTTATTTATTATTTCAAATATTTGATACTATGTTGATTTCTTAAAAAAGTACTTATTTTAAATGGAAATAAAACTAATTTCGGAACTGCTGTTTTAATTTAATAATTTTTCGATGTTAAATTGCAAAACATGTGACGTCACACTAGGGAGGGGGGGGGTCTCAGAAATGTGACCACCTGTGACAAGGACGGGGGAGGGCTCAAAAACTCATGAAATTAGTGTGACGTATTTTATGGATGGCCCCTAACCAATTAATGTATAATAGGTTTTTGGGAACGTACATTTTAATTATGTAACATAATATAGAATTACTTCTGAAATTAAAATAATCTAACAAAAAAAAAAAAAAACTAAAATACACAAAAATTAAAACAACTTTTGTTGAATTGATGAAAATTGAAATATAGAACTCTCGAGTTTTATACTATTCTTTTTCCTGTACCATTACTCAAATATCGTCTTAAATAGAAATACTTTAACCACAATTTTGATATAAGTAGTTCCTTAATAACTAGCGAGCTTTTAGACCAATACAGTTGCGAGTTTATTTCATTTTAAAAACATACATAACTCAGCTAAATAGACAAATTGTTTTAATTAGCAGACTGGTATTAGTTTTAGTCGTGTAGATGTAAAACATCAAAATGGTGGGATTTAAGGTTATTAATAATAATAATACAAGTTATTTTTAAAGAATATTATTAATATATTATATACTTCCTTTTTATTTCACACGCTCGATATAAATATTAGTGGAACATTTATAGGCTTAAAATGCATTTACGAATTTATTTTCTTATTGTGTGCGACTATATTCTTTTAGTATTTTTTTTCATCAAACTAGATGTCATGGATAGTTTTTTTTTAAAAGGAATGTCATCAAATGACCCGTCTTTTCCTGGGTGCGGCAAGAGGGAGTGTCAGACTCGTACTGACTGCAACCCCTGTACCTTTTTCTACTCTGAGCCAGGCAGCGGTACATCATTGCGCTTGTATATGTAACCCGGCTTCACATCGCTCTAGGGACCCATCTATGGTGGTCTGATGGCTAATTGCGCAGTACGTTAGGGTTTGATCCTGGTCAGGCGGCAAGCAGCCCTAGCTTGAAAACCCTCGCTTAGGGTGGCTGGAGATAGTTCAACGATCCCCAACACATGGAGCGTCATCTGCGGCGGCTGAGGCATGAGAAGGATCTTTCCTTCACACGCTCCGTATCCTCCATAGCTAGCGTGACTGATTTTTAAAAGAAGGAGAAGGCTTCTTAGTACCTTTCTCTCAAATTGTCCTCTTGAATGTTCCAAATTCTTGTGTATGCCTGCCTTTTTCCATTAATATATGTATTCGAAAAGATTAAAATTATATGAATGAATATAGAAGTTTAAATATAATCATAAAAATGTAATTCTAGTAACTTATTAACTTCCACACTTTGATAATATTGGAGGTGAAATAAAAAATGACCCAAAAATTTGGTGCAATCTAGAAAATGTGTCTCTAAAATAAGTATAATAAATGTTTGTTATTAAGTTTGCTACTTAATAGCAAATATTTATTATACTTCATCAGTTATTTAATAAAAACAGCAACGGTCGAAATGTAAAAAAGTATTAATTACTAGCTTTCCGCCCGCAGCTTCGTCCGCGTGGAGTTCGGTTATATAGCGTTTCCAAGAGTACCTTTCAAAAGTCTGGGATAAAAACTATCCTATATTCTTTCTCAGGGTCAACTCTATGTTTGTACCAAATTTCATTAAATTCAGTTCAGTGGTTTAGGCGTGAAAGCGTAACAGACAGACAGAGTTACTTTCGCAATTATATAATTAGTAGGGATTTATGTCATAACTATGTATTAACTATCAAATTTTATACCTACTACTTGCTTTACTGTGTTTATAGCTCTAATTAAGTTTTTTACAGAATTTTATAAATTACCTATGAAAAATTTTGTTTGATAATAATGAATAATATAATACAAATAGGTACACGTTAAATGAATGTATAAATTTCTTTAAAAATATAATTTAGATAAACATCTCACAATAGTGGCATAAAATATTACGCATCACTATCAATTTGATAATTTATTTCATAAGGCGCTTGATTATATTAAGTAGATAATAAACAAGTTAAAATTTAAATTATACCGCTGAAGTGCGTTGTCGCGGTACGTTGCTTTGCGACTCGAACCGATTCGTTCGCCGGTCCATCTCGAAGTTCGAACTTCGTAGTGGATTGTTGTGTTCAGTGTGGTGCCGCGTCGATTTTATTACAGATCTGTTATTTTGAATAATTTAATAAAAATAGTTCTTAAAATAACTAGCTAGTAGCTTCTTGTTGTTTGTGAATAAAAAATACTTTTAATAAGCTTTAAAATGTCTGTTATGGGCAAAATTATCGTGCCTAATGTATGCCGTCGTAATTTTATTAATATAAGCGCCTCATTACAATCTGTGAGATCAAATCGAAGTTATTTTACATACACTCAAGAATTGTCTCAGCCCTTAGACCGAAAACCCGAATTTGTTAGTGCCAAGGAAGCTTTTGAAAAATGTTTGAAGTCTGGTAAGAATTATTTATAAGTATGCTTTTTCTAAAATTAGTAACCCGTTATTTGAGGATACTGCAAAATAAAATTGATATCATTTCATTCAATTCAATCTTATGTTCAATATGTTTATTAATAAATAAATGTCCTAAGTATATTTGGGGTCCCAGTTTCTGACATCGAGTCTTATATAGGCCAACAATTAATTTCTATTGATGTCGATTATAATAATTCTGACATTAATTTTCAATAAACTAAGAGAAATAAATGAGTTCAATAATCAACCGATTGAATGTAGATTGATGCACTACTTAATCTAATGCTTTAATGGCAGGAAATTGAAGATCATTTTAAAAACCAATTGTACTTTGAACCTTGTTTATATCTATATTAAACTGTTCGTAACTTTACGGTAGATTATTGGCACAAATGTTTTGGTAATTTGTATGTTTACATTGCTTTCGTTTATTTTTTTGTTGGATAATCTTTTGTATGTATATGAGACTTTGAGACTTAGCTTACAAGCAATTTAATATGTATGAGACATCTCAATATATAAATCGAAAAATACTTATTGAATGACAATTGTGGAGTATAAAATGTAGATGATGCAGCAATTTTATCCAATAAGACTCCACATGAAGTTTACTTATCTTGATTAGATAAAAAATTGCAATAACATTAAAGACTTAAGATTTTCTTTTAAGTTTGCAATATAGTACTATCTTACTGAAAGCTTCTGCAAAATTGGTCATATATTTTTATTGCACATATAGAATTTATGTAATTTATATTCAGCCTTTAGATGCAAATATGTGAGTATTTAGGGAAAAAGATAAAACACTATCTTTATTGATGTTAGCTCGGAAATTAATTCTGTGGTGACATCATTCTGCACCATTTAAACTCTCAATAAAAAAAACAAAGCAAATAAAACATATGACTAAATCCTCGGACTGACTTGGACTTTAAATCCTGATATAAAAAAAGATGAAAATAAAGTATTATTAATTTGTATTTCTACTTAATGAACAACCAAATTATATTTTATAGAATTTCTTATTAAGCTGAATACTGTCAACCTTATGCTTTTTTAAAGCCTTTAAAAGAAATAAACACCACAAAGACGACCTTAGCCTGTCCAAATCCATTTGACATACATAAAAAGAGAAAAAAAGTAAAAACACCTCTAAATGTGTTTTTATGTGTTATTGATACCAAAAATAACATAGTATATTGTGTCACAATCTTTGCTTAAGAAATTCAAATAAGTTTTAGGTAAAAATCTAGTTTCAGAAACCATATTTCTTGTACTGTATGTACTATATGTTATGATAAAACTATTTTTAGTGATATATTCAGTTTACATATTATTATAGGGAGTGTCAATTTATGTAAACAAATTTTATCAATGGGCCACTTGTTTGTTATGAGATAACGACGTCATTATTGTACTTACCAAAATAATATAGTTGCCAAATTAATAAATATGATAGATAATAGTATGATGTCAATAATAATAACTGTGACAAAATTAACTCATATCTTAGCCGTGATCTCAAGAGTTAGTGTGTTTGATGTTTGATAAGCATGTCCGGAGAACTGAAATTTAGTACATTTTGAGAATAAATGAGTAGGTACATATATATATTATTTTTAATTATTTGTATTTCATTATATGTATATAATGTAAGCTTTTATTGAAGTTACATATAATTTTACGACTCTTTACTTAGTCTTTCTTTATCATATTGTGAACAAAAAAATTGTGGCATCATTAAAGAAAAATACTCTTTATATTTTTATAATAGAATATAAAATTTATTACCTATTTATGTTTTTTATACATGACAGTTTTTATATAAGGTAATATCATTAAAAGTATTAAAAATTGCTGGATATATCTTAAATTGTATTGTAGCAATGACATCATACATTTCAATGGTACAAGTACTTTCATTAGTATTCATGTAGCATTCAGGTTAAGGCTAACAAGGCATTATCTTGTTATATTTTACAGAGTTATATATAATCAACCTCTATCATATGTAATATCAGTTACTACATAGGCTCTAGATGTATATTTGATACCGAGATAAAGATTTGGTAATAATTTGAATGGTCAAAGAAGAAATATAAGGTCTGCCGGCAAATACAAAGCATGTATAGAACATATAAATTATTGGTTGTTTTTTTTTTATTGGTCTTTTTGGACAGGCTAAGATCTTAAATCAATCTGCCTATTCATTAGTATGCTTTATCTTGTCACTGTTTATCAGTGTTACCATTCTTAAAATAATATTTCATTATTATTAGTTCTAACTTAATATTTGATGGACTTTCTCACTTATAATCAATGCTATAGTGAGTTTATTGCACTCATCTCGTCTTGACTGTTTATTTTGAAACTGTTCTCTTATCAGAATGTATGATAGCATATTTTAATAATATATTATAATTATTATATATCTATAGATAAATTGATGAAGGCTGAACAAACAAAACAAAATGGATGCTGAATAGTATTGCCCATTGAAAAAATATGTATTAATTTTATAACCACAATGGATATAAAACTTATTTAATATTTTAAATACATTACATATACATTATTTATAATTACATATGTCAATTTTATTTTAAACTGTCTTATCAAGCAATAAATGCAAATTAATTAGATAAATTTTTAATCATTCAAATATTTTTACGTTCATTAAAAATTCAAGGGCTACATTAAATTATCATATTCTTTCTTTTATGCATATTAGAACTATATTCATAAAGATTGTGTCTAGAACAAAATAGATCAGTTGAATATTAAGTGGAATATTCTAGAATATTCTGTTAATTAGATTGTTATTCCAGGTCAAACTGTTTTCGCTCAGGGCGCCGCAGCGACCCCTGTTCCTCTCCTGAATGCTATGACGGATGTTGGTAAAGCAGGTTCATTGAAAGACATCAAGGTTGTGCATATGCATACTGAGAGGGACGCGCCGTATGTTGCTCCGGAATGCAAGGATATTTTCAGGTATGCAAGGAGTATTTATATAATCTATATAATACACTTTGGCTGTATGATGTAATTCGTACTTCCCTATTAATATTATAAAGTAACTCTGTCTGTCTGTCTGTTACGTTTTCATGTCTAAACCACTGAACTGATTTTAATGAAATTTGGTACAGACATAGAATTGACCTTGAGAAAGAACAGGATAGTTTTTATCCCAGACTTTTGAAGGGTTCTCTTGGAAACGCGATATAACCGAACTCCACGCGAGCGAAGCTGTGGGCGGAAGGCTAGTACCTAATATATTTTGGGTTAATAAATAAAATGGCGGGAACAGATATCTTTGAAATGCAAATAAAACTAATGTTTTTCGGATTACTTCGCGTTTTTTTTATAATTTTATACTACATACTCCGGATATTTTCGGTTACTTTTCAGCAACCGTCATCACGGGCAAGTAGTTTTTTAGAATAATAAAATGCTCTTAGTAATCCGAAAAATATTGGTTTCATTTCAATGATAAAGTCTCTAGTTACTAGCACTTTCTTAGATCTCATTATCTTTAAAGTATTCTCGTTGTTGATAGAAAACGTAAATTAATTATTGATAAATTTGGTTCAGTCAAAAATTGTATTTAATTTATGAAACATATATGTATATATTCAATTTATTTTGCATAGTAATACTACGTAATCAAATTCCTTAGAGATATGTACATTATCTAGATCACACTTTAGGCCTCGGCCTCGAATTTTGCGGGCAGCGGAGCGGCAGCGGGAGCGGCAGGATTTTACGCGTATAATCAAATGGACCGACCCTCGAATACAGCGGTGCCCGCTGCCCGCTAGTTTGGAGAACAGTATGCGTTTCCGTGCCGCCGCCGCCGCCGCTCCGCTGCCCGCAAAATTCGAGGCCGAGGCCTTAAGGTGGCACTTCACTTAGCGTTTATTTGTGTTCGGCCAAATAAGACCATGTGTGGAGGATTTATTCATATCATTTGACATATTTGCACAAATAAGACACATACACAAATAAGCGAAAACGTGTGGATGTCGTGTTTGCGCTATTTGGACTACGTTCAAATATTTGGACAAATACGGCGAATACGCAAAAGTTAACTAAAATCAATATATTTATACTTTATAAAATAATTACTGATAAACGGTTATAAATCTGTATTCAGTGAGTAGACTAACCACTTGAGTGTATATGAGGACAAATTGGGCAATAGCCTTCCAAAAGCTAAAGATAGATATATGTATATCTGTACACAATATAAGTATACTTTAAGAACTCTATACTGTATAGTTTAAATAGTTCTTATCATATATTAATTGCTGTAAAAATATCACAAATTTACTCTTATTGTGTATAAACTATTTTGATTGATTTTGGACCAATTGTCCCTATAACTTTAAATTAATTATATGTTTTTGATCTATATTCTCTTATTTGTGTTATATTCTGTCTTATACCTTTTGTGAAAAGATGCCGAACTTATATATAAATTATCTGATAGATGAACCTACTACATATGACGATAACGTTGGATAGATTACAACTACATATATTATCAGTGTGCTTATTCTAAGTTTTTACAATACTCCACACTCCGCGTCTCCCGTCTCTCACTCAATAACCCACGTTAATACTATAATGTGTGAAGATTTATGAATGACATACTGTTGACGATACGTATGTAGTGTGATGCCAACTTTGATTAAGCAAATAGTTTCGTATCTTGTATCTTGAAGTTGGCCCTTATATAAAGAGAAATAATTGCGATATTTTCCTTGTATATAATTTTTTTGCGAAAGAATTGTTCTTATGATGTACTTGATAGCGCACAATAATTAGTAAATATATCAATATTATGTTGACAAAGCCGCGGGTATTGGCTAATTATACAGGGTGACTGGTGAATTACTATCAATATTTAAGGAGAATACTCGGTACATGATTCTCATTCGAATTATGTAAAAAAAATAGGTACTTAATTTTTGACCAAATTTCCGTATAAATAAATAAAGTGTGTACACGTTCCAAGTGTTCCAAGTGTGGACGCGTGCGGCGGCGTGCTGATATAACAACACGCCGGCGCGTGCGTATGTGTGAGTGTGGGTTTATACCTAATCTGTAGGGTGTTCACACGATGCGTAATTAATTACATAGCTTTTGGTTAACTTTACTTAGAAGTTTATTAATATTTATGTTATATTAATTTTTATTTTGTCATATATGATCGTCAAATATCACGTCCTCAAATATCGATAGTAATTCACCAGTCACCCTGTATATATTATGCTATGAAAAGTTACATAAAAATCTGTGTTTAAAGAAGTTTAATTTCGGTCTGAGCGATGTTATTTACAAACAAAAAATTTAAAGTTTCTTAAATATTATCAGCTATATAACGTATTTTGACTAAAGTGTATGGTTTTATTCGTTTTTATGGCTATGGATAGGAGTCCTTTTGATATATTATAGTCTTATGCCTTTTGCCATACTTTTTATCACATAATTAAATTAAAAATTAATATATTGTCTAGAATCTAATCTATCGAGATAGAAACGATATAGAAGTCGCTGTTGTGGTCAGTCAATAATAAGATTCTTCTGTACTTGAGAATCTTAGAAAAACATTTAATATTTCCTTGTTTGGAATAATCGACTTAGGTCACAGTTTCAAATAACCGAATCAGTATGTATTAGTGGCATGATATTTAATATACATTTTTATTATTTACATAGTTCTCAAATAAATATGTAAAAAATGTTTTCGTTAAAACAGTCATTCTATAACAAATATATAATTTTATCCATACAATAGTTTAATGTCCAGAAAAATTCCCTTTCCAGTCAATGTGCTAGTAAAAAAATAAAATTTGGTTAAAGTGTTATATAATCCTCGCAATCTTTATACGATGTATCCATCAATATTTATCATAGATAGACGTTATCATGATAAAATATATCAGTATTAAGAAACTAAGGATAGTACTTATATAGATATGCCAATAAGAAGAGTATTATATTTAATATGAAAATATCAGAAGTTGCTCAAAATAGTTTGGGTAGTTTTACGTGTGAACTTTGACCTTTAAACCTTTTGTTTTCGAGAGCGACCTCACATCATCTTGCAGTATTCACATTGTTTTTGGCAAGAAAATTACAGATGAACTTTGACCTTTAGGCCTTGCATTCTTATAGCGTCTCCACATCTTGCAATGCTCACATTGTTAGGAAATGGGTCTGCATTCGAACATCCATGACGTAAACAAATGTTTGAGACATTTAAGCTCAAAGATCTCAAAATAGGTTTTATTTTGTGTCTTAGTTCATGCTGTGATAATCAATTGCTTAGAAGTTAATATGATGGTCCATAGATCATTACTGAGAGACGAAACAATCTTATCTTTGGAATCAACATCTCATTCATTAGAGCCCTGGATAGGATTTTACTTTATTTCTAGGAAGGTTTCTGGTAATATCAAGGCAAGACTTCTGAATGGCTGCAACATTATTAAACTAGTATGGTCCAATATATTCATTAATTTAGTTTAGATGGTATTTCTGAATCAGTTTCTTCCTTTAGACCGAATTCAGCGTCAAGCTATTTGAATCATCGGTTACTATTGCTCTAAACAAAATAACACTGGCGTAGCATAAAGACCTTTTTATTGTATATATTACTATAAGTGGTCTTAGGAATTGTTTAATTTTTTATCTCTATCAACCTTCCGTCAGCGTTTACATAGCAAGTATATTCTGTTCTTCACATACAAATTCTGGAACATTCTGTAATCTGTGCTATTGCCAGACTTATAGGACTTGTTAATCATGAAGAAAACATCGTATTCTTTGGTTGGTTGTTTTTAAATGGTCTTCATCCGTGCAAAGACGTGCACACTATATTCTGCTAGTGTCGTGTAGAATGGAGAAGCATGTTCTATAACTGACAGCCCTTTAGCGATACTTCTATGTTTCTATTAACACTTGACATTGCCGAAATATGTAAAGAAACGCCAATAGCTAAAAGAGAGAAAGAGATAGTCTTCAGTGTTCATAGTTTTGTCCCTTTCCATCATTAGCTTGTCTCTATCTATATACAGGGTGACTGGTGAATTACTATCAATACTTGAGGACGTGATATTAGACGATCATATATGACAAAATAAAAATTAATATAACATAAATATTAATAAACTTCTAAGTAAAGTTAACCAAAAGTTATGTAATTAATTAGGCATCGTGTGAACACCCTACAGATTAGGTATACACACACACACACACGCGCGTGCGGCGGCGTGGTGTTGTATCAGCACGCCGCCGCACGCGTCCACAATTGGAACACTTGGAACGTGTCCACACTTTATTTATTTATACGGAAATTTGGTCAAAAATTAAGTACCTATTTTTTTTACATAATTCGAATGAGAATCATGTACCGAGTATTCTCCTTAAATATTGATAGTAATTCACCAGTCACCCTGTATAAAAATGAATTGCTGTTCCTTGGTCTCACTAAAACTCGAGAACGACTGAACGGATTTATCTTATCATAGTCTTGAAATGTTCGTGGAGGTTCAGGGAAGGTTTAAAAGCTGAAATTTTTTTATTAATTTCCGGGAAAACCCTAAAAACAGCGCTTTTTTATTTCCCATACAAACGGTTTTTTGACATTAGATTTGACAACTAATATGTCAATCATTTTGTCGCACTTCAGAACACGGAGATTTATGGCTTAAAGGTAAACACCAAATAAATAAATAAGACATAATTTATTTCTTGATTGAGGCAGTACGAAGTCTGCCGGGTCAGTTAGTTCTATATAAAAATAAACAAATGAAAATCTTATCTTACAAATATATAAATCTATTTAGCATTTATATCTGCATTTAACATTTACGGCGATAGTAGAACTTTTTAATATGTTTAATGTATGGAGCAAATCTTCTTCTTCTATCTGGTAACTTCCCAGATTTAGCCAGGGTTTGCCTTACATGTTGTGAATAGTTTTGGCTAATTGTTTTTAAGACCGGCCGCCTGCCTGACATCAACCCTCTTTTTGGGTATGCATTAATCATTGATCGAACCCACGCCCTCGTGCATGAGAGGCGGGCCTTTAACTACTAGGTGACTTCAATGTATGGAGCAAATATATATTTTTTTGTAAATATATGGAGCAAACATTTTCTTGAAATACGAGTAGATAAGAGAATGGTATCACTAAATATATCTATTATTTGAGTGTCTACATCTATACAGGGTGACTGGTGAATTACTATCAATATTTAAGGAGAATACTCGGTACATGATTCTCATTCGAATTATGTAAAAAAAATAGGTACTTAATTTTTGACCAAATTTCCATATAAATAAATAAGCTTTTGCCACGACTCCGTCCGCGTGGAATAGTAACTTACGGCAGATTTTGGGTTCTTCCTACATAGTTCCCGTTCTTGTGGGGTTTTCGGAATGGTCGAGTTCCCGTAGAATTTTCAGGATGAAACCTATGTTTTTTTTTATTCACAGTGAAGTACTCTTAACCAACAACATATTTATTTGTTTATTTGAATAAAGATTTATATCATTATGTTGATACAACTTAAACAAATTATTTCGACCAAATTAGGTACCATAAAAACGGTTTTTGTGAGTTAATCTTAAAAGATAGACATATACTGTCGCGGAGTGTTTTTTAGATCATTAAAGGAGCTATTATTCTTTAATACATATTTTTTATGTATCTTGAACCGTTTTCACGGCGCACGCAACGGAAGGCTTCAAAGATGAAATAATTTCTCCCGTTTTTTACACATTTACCACTATATCTTTGCTCCTATTGGTCATAGCGTGATGTTATATTGCCTAAAGCCTTCCTCGATAATTGGACTATCCAACACAAAAAGAATTATTCAATTCGAACCAGTAGTTTCGGAGATTAGCGCTTTCAAACAAACAAACAAACAAACAAACAAACTCTTCAGCTTTATATTAGTATAGATAAAGTGTTGACACGTTCCAAGTGTTCCAAGTGTGGACGCGTGCGGCGGCGTGCTGATACAACACCACGCCGCCGCACCCGTATGTGTGAGTGTGTGTGTATACCTAATCTGTAGGGTGTTCGCACGATGCGTATTTAATTACATAACTTTTGGTTAACTTAACTTAAAAGTTTATTAATATTTATGTTATATTAATTTTTATTTTGTCATATATGATCGTCAAATATCACGTCCTCAAGTATCGATAGTAATTCACCAGTCACCCTGTATGAATAAATAAAATTGTAGTGTCCGTTTGTAATATTGAAATAACCGTTTTTTACTACGTGCATATGAATATGAATACGGTACATACACAGAAATTACATTTTTTACAATTTTTGTCTGTCTTTCTGTTTGTGCCGGCTAATCTTTGAAATGGCTGTACCGATTGTGACGGAACTTTTACTGGCAGGTAACTGATGCTATAAGGAGTAACTTAGGCTACTTTTTATCCCAATACCTAAATTAAATGTTATTACGCGCGAATGCGATTCATGAATCATGCTTGATGCGGCGCTTAAAAGGTTTTTCATTGTTTATTTTTTCTTTTTTTAACTCAGACGAAGTCGCGGGTAACAGCTACTAAAATATATTTGTAATAGTAAGTGGTTAAGTACTATTAAACTTGTTTCCAAGACAACATTACCAAAGATACTAACAGCAATATTGTTATCTCCCAAATGACGTAGATTTTAAATGGTTACAAATATTTTTGTGTATCATTTTGTATAAGACATCTTGCTAAAATGTTGTCTTTTATGTTTACTAAAGGATGTTTGTTACATATTTTGAATGAAATTTTATTTTTTTATTTTTAAGAACAAAATGATTACTTCTAAACATGTCATACCTTATCTTGAGTGACTAATCTTTATCTTTTTAATTTTGAAGTATTTTTTAGTTATTAATTTATACTAATGATCCGATGAAATATAGTACTAATGTGTAATCAAAATAATATGAACAATAATGGATAGATTTAAAACATTTCGATCCACTTGAAGAAAAAATATAGAATTGTTAATAATAGGTATAATGCAGGCGAGAATAAATGCTAACTTTAAATATTTAGTCTTCGATATCAATAAAATACTTCAAATTGTTATGTAGATTAGAATTATTGAAATTTGTATGCTTAGTATGTGTTTGCTTTGTCACACTACATATGAAGCGTTTCGAGTTACTTATTCAATAACCTTTTTTTTTTTTTTTTTTTTGTTATCGCGGTGAAAGGTTTTATACCTACCCCTCCGTCTAGGGGAGACAGAGGCGGTTATGTGGGATTCACGGCCAAAAGGGCCCATGTTACCCACTAAAACACCAGCGGTCACTCTCCGTTGCCGCCAAGTGGATCGCCACGGGAAACGCCGAAGCATGCATCCGCGACGATCCGGCGGCGGGCCGCGAACGGCCACCTCCCCCCCGAGGGCTCACTCCAAGTGACCAGGAGTGTCCCCCCGCCTGGCGGGCTTGCTTAATCGCGAGAGGGTTAACCCCTTACCCCTCCCACCCAAGCCCACGCGGCCAGTCTCCAACCACCCACCGACGAGCGCAAGCGCCCGACGGCAGACAGAGAGGAAACCGACCGACCACAAGCGAACTCAGGCCTCCGGAGAGACCCGAGTATCCCCTCCCCCCAAGACAGCCACGGACGGCCTCCTGCCAGATCCGTGACCGTCTTACTCCCAGGGCTGTACCCCCAGCCCTCCCCCCCGTGACTGATTGCACCGGAATACACCAGTGGGCGATGGGGTCGTCACGTCCCGACGCCGGACTGTGCCGACAGTGGCCGAGGCCACCCGCCAACACGTAGGGCCGAACTTGGCAGCGGCGGTGTACACCGCCGAGACTCGTCCTACCCACCTCCATGGGCTGCACCCCCAGCCCGGGCCAAGACCCCACGAGGAGGTCAAGGCCCTTCCCCCCCGTGACTAATTGCACCGGAATACACCGGTGGGCGATGGGGTCGTCACGTCCCGACGCCGGGTTATTCAATAACCTACGATAATACTATAGTGTACGAATTTATGAACGACAATCTTTTACCGCTTATGTAGTCTTCTTCTACCTGGCAATTTTCCAGATTTAGCCAGGGTCTGCCTTACATGTTGGGAATAGTTTTGGCTAATTGTTTTTACGACCGGCCGCCTGCCTGATATCAACCCCCTTTTGGGAAATGTATTAATCAGTGATGTCTAAATACTTTTAGAAAGTCCATATGACTCGGAAAAATCACATTGGTAATTGCCAGGATCGAACCCGCGCCGTCATGCATGAGAGGCGGGCATTGTAACCACTAGGCCACCACTGACTTACCGCTTATGTAGTGACACGATGTAAATTCGCCTTAAGCATGCCGCACTGATAGTTAAAAATCGTATATTTTTTGGATTGATTGACGCTTATCGCAAAAGAGAATTCCGATTTCATAAATTCTTTTAATTTTAAAAAGTCCATTTATCCAGAAAGACTATATTCTATGTAGATTCACGCTACTAACAATAGGAATGGACTATGAATGATTTTCATTGCTGAAACTTGAGTATCTTTAAATAACGGTATTTTAAAGTACATGTATATACAAAATATATTTTATTCACTAATATTTTGTTATAAGTAAAAAACAGTGTTATTGCTTGATTTTTTTAAAGTTCTACGCTTTGTAATAATAGTGTGTGAATTTAAAACAGCTCTTTCAACTAACACTTTACAATATCTTACTTTGCCACAAACGAAGTAACGGCAAAAAAGCTAGTCATTAAATAGATAACAAAATTTTTAAATTTATTTTGATTTTTTTTAAATTATGTATTATGTTAATATTATTTTAAGTATATTGCATTAAACAATGTCATAATAATGTATATTCTCGTTAGCCCTTGAGTACAAATATACGTTACTCGAAATAAAAAGTGAATAATAATAAAAGAACATGTCCTCCTTTATATGTGAATCATTTTCAAAGATAAATTAATAACTTATATAAAATAAACATCGCAACATATAAAACAGTTTTCATACCTTCCTGTGAGCCTAAGGCATCTTGTAGTTAAAGAACTTTAGTTCCTCATAAAGAACATACAATGTTCACTTATCTTACGCGGTATTTTTGAATAAATTGTATCCTGACTATTGTTCTGACCTACTACACTTACTACTTATAACTACACTACTGTTTTACTTTCATTCCATTTAGTAAATTTTGTTACTGAGAACAACATACATCCATAGGTATATAGGAACAAACTTTTGCCTTTTTCGATATATAAACACAAAGGATTCTAACAAAATCATAAAAAAGATGTTGTCTCATAAAACCACTACTTTTAAAAAACATCAAACCTTAAATCAAACACTAATACCTTAAATAAATATAATTTACAAAGAAGCTCACAAATCGCGTCGACATATATTTTCCCGCGTAAAACTCAAGAAACCAAATGTCATTTAACGTCACTTCGGGTGCGTTCCGGAATTTAAAGATTCATTTTAAATTAAATGTGTGCTTCCTAAATATATATAATATTTCAGGTCCGTGTCATTGTTCATGGCGGCGAATGTTCGTCAATCAGTAGCCGAGGGTCGTTCAGACGCCATCCCCATCTTCCTACAAGACATCCCCAAGTTATTCCACAGGAAGATCATAAGACCAGACATCGCTGTCATACAGGTTAGAAATTGCATTTATACGAGTTATCTAAAATTCTTTTTTGATAGTTAATAGAATTTCACAGAAGTGTATATTATAATTTTGTATTTAATGACTAGAAGGCGTGAATTTTATCTCTTTATTAGAATATGTTCTAACTTTTTCATAACAATTTTTTTACAGCGCTCACAACCCTTCCTCTTTCTTTTCCTGACATTAATAATAATTGCCATATAATTGATAATGTGACAAACATTAAACCTATCCATAATTTCTAGTGTAGTCTTGTCACCTTTAATATATTTTTATTGGAATATTTTTTCCTAACTCGATAGTGTATTCGCCACCGCCTAGTTACGGTGTCATAACCTGTATATTGAAAAACACTTATTTATTAAGGCTACAAGTTTACGATACAAAAATTCAATTTAAATATTAACGAAACAAACAATCTAATTGCCTCAATATTGGAATAGACATGAAAAATATATTCTATTATACACACACACACACACACACAGTCATATACATTTATCTATATATAATTTTATTATAATTCCAGGTTTCTCCCCCAGACCAGCACGGCTACTGCAGCCTCGGTACATCCGTGGATTGTGTGAGATCTGCTCTGGTTAACTCAAAAATTATTATAGGTAATGAATCATAATGTACATATATTTTAAAATTAATATATGCCTACATACAATGTACAGTCCCTATAGTAAGTACAGTGGACCCCCGGTAGTCGGACAAACATTTTGCAGGTCAGTGTTGAAGTATGGAATTCGTCGGATTATAGAGTACTGCCTAAGACCCTCTATAGTCCGGATTTTATTACAAAAGAGTACCTTGTAATACGACAAATTACAGATTCAATGATAAGATTATTTACGCATTATATATACATATATGTACTCTGAAGTACAAATTCAAATTCCAACTAAGCAATCAGAATCAAAACAGTACCCTACGCGTCGAGCACAATAGTGATGGTGCGTACAAGTTGTAACTTGTTCAATCATGCATTAGCGAATACAAAATATGTATTCAATAATAAATAATAGATCATGTCGGATTACAGGGGGTGCCGGATTAAACAGGGGCCGGATTACCGAGGGTCCACTGTATTTTAATTAAACCTGTTGTATATTATTATTTAAAACATGTATATGTATAGCAGAAAGTTCCTAGGCACGTTTAATATTAATAGATAAACAACGATGATATTTCATGAAATCTTACAATAATGAAGGATATAATCTGAATAATTTTATCTTATAGTATATCCCAAAAATATATAAGTATTTGATACACATGGAGTTGTCAGTTTATAAATATAATTATTGTCTCTAATATTCAAATTAAGCATTCAAATATACTGACAATAATGAAACTAATCTCAATAAATATAATTTCACAGCTCAAGTAAACGTGAATATGCCACGAACTTTCGGTGACGCGATCATCCACGTGTCACACGTTGATTATGCAGTAGAAGACAACACGCCGCTACCCGAACATGGAGGGAAGGCGGCCACGGCTGAGGAGACGCAGATAGGACAACTGATAGGAGATAACCTGGTGGAAGACGGAGCTACGCTACAGATGGGTGAGTAGAGACGAAACCTCTTAGCATCTAATGTATTCACTGTGCGGGTACCGGGTCCATCGTTGTAGTGAGAGGAGCTCCAACAGTGACTGGGACTTGCGACCCAGGTGTAGGTTTAAGGGGCCCTTATGTAACGCTTACCTCCACTGTCCAAGCTCCTCTCTCTACCCAACCAAGTTTGAAAAGAACCTACTAGGGCTGCCCAAAGGCAACTTACTTCGAAAGAGTACGTTCCAAGAATGAATTAATGTGAGTTCTGGACAGGCCCAAATAAAGACCTCTCTAAAACTTACTAAAAGTGGTAGGTTGTAGAGAGATTTCGCTGTTATACCTCTCGCTCCCACCTCTACCGCGTAAAAATCTACTACGAACCTATTTCGAGTGAGTTCGTTTGTGAGCTCGTAATATTTGTTGACCTTGATGGTATGGTCTTTGGGGATGTTGGTTTCCCAAGGGACCGTAAGCTCTATCATCACAACGCTTTAAAATTCACGATTACAAAAATATATCTGGTCTGGAGGCCAACGCATAAATATCCTCGGGGATTTTGTATTGTTTTTCATACATATCCATCATTATAGTCCAATCCGAAGCCGCTTTAAGAATGGAGTAAGGCTTGATGTTTGATTTTGTAGCCCTAGTGCCTTCTTTCATAAAACCTACTGATCGCTCGTTTGTGGTTATTTCCCTTTGCGCTCTGGCTACCGAAAAACTAACCGCTTCACGTATGATTTCTAAGATTATTGAACTCTCAAGTGTCTAAAGTTTTATTTCTAACAAAAGACTCACATTTCGTCAGAAATGAAACCTAAGCTACTGTTATGTCTTCAGAGTACAGTAAAGTTGGATAATTTTTCATATTATCGTAAATTTTAATCAACTATTATGATGTTGAATAACAAAGTATGCGAAATCAATAAAACAGTGTTATTAAGATCAAGCATCTTAATTTATCAAGCATCTTAATGTATATTAACGGGAGAAATCGGATGATTTCATATTATATGTAGAATATAGGTATTCTCAACACTGACTTGAATATACAAATTCAGTCCAAAACAGTTAAAATAACATGCAATAGTAATTGAAACTATTTGAAATCTTAAATAGAAGTCGTATTTATTTAAAACCTATATTACAATCATGGATTCTATGTTCCACAGGTATTGGTAACATACCTGATGCTGTGCTCTCCGCTCTGAAGAATCACAAAGACCTTGGAATACATTCAGAGATGTTCAGTGTGGGGGTCATTGACCTCGTGAGGAGGGGGTGTGTCACCAATAACAAGTTAGTTTGTGTATATGATAACTTTATATACATGTATAACTAGCTGCGCCCCGCGGTGTTACTCGCGGATTTCCGGGATGTAAAGTAGCATATACAGTAGGACCCCGATTATCCGGACCTCGGTTATCCGAATTCGCGATTATCCGGACTGCCAATCGCGACGAGTTTATTCTAACATTAACATGTCAGAATTTGCATAACGCCACGCCACTTAAAACTAGGGCCCGGATAAATATGTATTAAAAAAATCTAAAATATGTACATAAAATATGGAAAAATATGGAGTATAAAATTAAATAATTCCATAATTAAACATTGTTTTACTATAAGAAAGGGTCACTCGTGACGTACATCGTTAAGAAACATTTAAAAAACGATGAAAAAAATGAGTGAAATATTTCAACAAAAAATAACAGTTTTATTCAACTTCCATTACACTAGCCTTATCAAATTGGTTGCAATACACAATGACGTGCTTCTTAAAATTATCAAAATGAAAACTGACCATTTGGTCAAAATATAGCATTATATATGCTGAATGATCTCTCCACTCACATGACGTGATGGATGCATACATCATTCAGTAATTGTATAAGCCATGTCTACAGCCCTCGAAACTTTCGCACAGAATTTTGTTAATTTTTTAGCGTTTTAAAACCTTATTTTTATCCAAAACATTAGTAGCGGGAACGTAATTTTTTGTTTTTTTGTGAATACATGGGTGATTGTGACATTTTTTTGTAAAATATGGACTTAACTTTGAAATATGGTAAAATATGGAAAATAAAAGTTGGTTTTTCACAGTCTAAAAATAAGACAATCCATGTAAAAAACACTAAAATCGCGTAAATTTTAAAATATGTATTTACATATTAATCCGGGCCCTACTTATAACACTTACACGTACATTATGTACAATTTCTTAATAAACGTTGATTTTCGCTTATATGTATTTGTTGTTTTAAATAAACACCTAACATTACATATGTATGGTATGGACTACATATGTACATATGCAAAAAGCCCGTTTTTCTTCATATATTGGATTATCCGGACTTTCAATTATCCGGATGCCTACCGACAACAATTAGTCCGGATAATCGAGGTCCTACTGTATGTTATTCCTGGACGTCAGCTTCCTGTATACAACATTTTATCAAAATCGGTTTAGCCGTTTGAGCGTGAAGAAGTTACAAACATAGACACACTCACAAACTTTCGCAATTATAATATTAGTAGGATGAATCTTATAGTAATTAAGACTTAAATTTAAATAGAAACTGTATTATTAAAATTTCATACATGGTAGCAGTATTTGAATTTGCGACCTCTAAAATATCTCATTGCAGTTGCTTTACTTATTAAACTATTGCTTCCTATGATTTACGTATGCTATGTATTTTACGCTAGATTTACATATGCGTACGATTCACAAGACGATGCACAAGCCGAAGCACAAAAAGTTATTAAAAACATAATAATTTTCTTTCTCATCTATCTAAGATCAAAACAACCTGTTAGAATGAGCCACTAACTAATTAGCACTAATCAACTAATTTAACTCCCACCTTATGCTTCGGCTCGCGATTCGTAGCGAGTGTTAATCTAGTGTCACAGTCATTGACATATACTAAAAGACATGCCTTAGAGATGAGAATTGTGTCACTCCGAAAGAAAGAGGAGAAACGAAGTTTCGGTTTATTTTTATCTCTCTCAAATTTAACTCATTAATATACAAGAATCATCTATGAGGAAAGAGATAGTGCTAGACCGAAAGCATAGGCCATCTCTCTCACTCTTGTCAAACCAAAAAATTACTGCAGATTATAGACGTATGGCATATATCCATTAGTATATGTCGATAGTCACAGTCATATTAGAAATGTGCTGCCATCTAGTTTTCTTTCGCAAAATCTTTGTCCTGTCAATGAATGTTTCACCTGTATTTGTTTTATTTAAGTGTTTTTTTATTAATGTTACAATGTTGTTCACAGGAAGAAAAATCACAAAGGTCGTATAGTTGGCAGTTTCCTCGTTGGTAACAAGGAGCTCTACGACTTTGTGGACAACAATCCGTTTATAGGTGACTATGATTATTCATACTATTAGATTAAAATTATATTTCTGTAATCAGACGGAAGGTTGAATAGACTACAAAAGTACTCTGAAATACCTTCAGTCAGTACCGCAACATTAGGAGATCACTGAAAATCAGTGTAGAAACAACATTGCTTCTATTTTTTACTGAGCTGTTCTCCTTTTGGTTAAATTACACTACTGCACACTTATTATTGTTGTTATTGATTTTTAACTTAATATTTGTCCTGTTGTAGTTGTTATGTTATTTTATTTTCCTTTTTTTTGTATACATAGGATAAATGTTACTCTGTTTTAATTTTGTTGTTTATTTGTTTTGTAGTGGTGTAATCTTTTAACCAATAAACGTTTATTATTATTATTAAATACATCTATTAATTATCATATATATTAATGTATGACTTACTAGATGTAGGTCTGTCAATGTTTAATAAAGTTATAATATTTAATATACATATATTATTCAAAATTCACGACTAAAGTGTTCCTGTTAACTGTACTTTTTTTTTTGACGGAATTTTGTATCAGCTATCTTATATGAGTAGTTGTAAATGTAATTATGTGGTATTCTATAGCTATGTAAAGAAAATATTTATATGTAATATAATTAATATTCTTATGTATATTCTATTTATGTTATTTGATTTCAGAAATGTTGGAGATAGATTACGTCAACAACACACACATAGTGTCATTACAGCCGACTATGACTGCCATCAATTCCTGCATCGAAGTAGATCTTACTGGACAAATTTGTGCTGACTCTATAGGTATTTAATAGTTTTAATACATAATTATTAACTTTCATATACTTATATGGCATTTTTATAAATAAAAATACTCCAAGTAGATTAAAACTTGATGTAGATTGTTTGAAAGTTAACACATAAAATGTTGTCTAAACAATCAAATAGGTACATAGTTATAATTAAATTTAAACAATAATAATACACATATATTTTATAGATAATAATATCTAAGATTTTCGCGTGTAGAACTGTACACATTTAAATGAAACCATGTTTTTACATAATCATAAACTTTCGTTAGTGTCTTCTCATTCTTCTTCTACCTGGCAATTTCCCAACTATAGCCAGGGTCTGCCTTACGTGTTGTGAATAGTTTTGGCTATTTTTTTTACGACCGGCCGCCTGCCTGACATCAACCCTGTTTTAGGAATCAACATTAATCAGTGATGTCTAACTACTCTTAGAAAGTACATATGATTCGGAAAAATCACATTGGTACTTGCCCGGGCCAGGATCGAACCCGCGCCCTCGTGCATGAGAGTTACCACTGACTTACTTAATAATTAAATATTATATAATAATATATTTATATGACATTTATATAAATAAAAATACTCCAGATGATTAAAACTTGATGTAGATTGTTTGAAAGTTAAAAAAATGTTGTGAATGATCAAATAGGTACATATTTATAATTAAATTTAAACAATAATAATACACAGTCGTGAAGAGAATTTTGATATTTTATAGATAATAATATCTAAGATTTTTGTGTACAGCTGTGTTTATGTAAATGAAATCATGTTTTTACATTATCCCTAATTATCAATAGATGAGATGTCTGTTCATTTCGTTGTCGTTGCTGTAATGTAACATTTTTCAGCTAATCTCTAAAGCTAGACTTATTTTGTTTAAATTTTCACTGACATTTTATTTTATTTTTTTTATTTTTATTTTTTTTGGGAAACAAACAGTATTAAAAAAAAATCAATCAAATAAAACATATAAAAGTACACAAACCAAAAAGCTTCCACCAATTACAATTTCATTTGGAGCACAAAACAATAATAATAATAATAACAATAATAATAATAATAGTTTTAAAATAAATTAATTACGAATTACAAGCCTTACTAATTTCTTTCCTTATATTACTTTTTGTGCACATTGTTAAATCTATATTAGAAAAGCATTTGTTATATTTCTGACAGGCACGGAAAATAAAAGTATTTCGAGCATATTTAGTATTTGTTAAAGGTAAGTGAAACAGGGACTGATTACGTGTTTTAATTTTAGGACATCTAAAGCCAATATTTTGTAGCAAAAAGGGTGAATCAATATAGTTTTGAAGAATCTTAAATAAAAACACTTGGTCTCTCTCCATGCGACGGTATTCCAAAGACGTAATGTGTGAAATATTCTGACACTGCGGCAAAAACTTATAACTATAATGTTTATTAAATCTGCGCTGAATGTTCTCCAATTGCAAAACGTGGCATTTATGTGAGGGATTCCAAACAGTGGAGCAATATTTAAGGGTTGATCTAACTAGCGTATTATATAATAGAATTAATGTATTTGCATTTTTAAAAACCCTACCAACTCTCAAAACAAATCCCAGCATTCGGAAAGCTTTAGCTGTGATATAATTAATGTGGGATTTAAATGTTAATTTACTATCAATGTAGATACCCAAATCTCGCACCTCGGTTACTCGTGTAATAATACTGTTGTCTAGATAGTAATTGAAGTTAATAATATCTTTAGTTTTCCGAGTGAACGAGATAACGTTACATTTCCTTACATTTAAATGCAGATAATTGTCTGAGCAGTACTTACATAATTTGTCTAGGTCATTTTGTAGGAGTATGCAATCAGAAGTTTGAGTTACTCGTCTAAAGATCTTCATGTCATCAGCATATAGAAGAATATTTGAATTCATATGTATATATATATGACGTATAGGAGATATTATAAGATATACCATATAGTAAATGTTTACAAATTTTATAACAAATAACTATCACGAGACAGAGTCAGTATAATATATGATAATAATAAATATAATTTCCAGGTACCCGTATGTTTTCCGGGTTCGGTGGCCAAGTGGACTTCATCCGTGGTGCAGCGGAGTCAGTTGATGGTAAAGGGAAACCTATCATAGCATTGGTTTCCAACACCAAGAGGGGCGAGTCTAAGATTGTACCCACGCTGAAAATTGGTCAGTATAATGAAATATTTAGAACACCCTGTATATAGGCTTAATATTGGTCAGTAAAGAAATTACACTTGAAGAGCAACCTGTATATACGCTTAAAATTGCTCAGTATGTAAGTTAAATATGTCGAGTAGTCTGTATACACGCTTGAGTATAGTATAATAAAATATTTGAGCAGCCTGTATATGCAAAAAGTCACCAGTATAGTTAAATATTATATACGTTGCAGGCAATTTGAATAATAATACAGTAATACCCCGCTTAACGCGACCCCGTTAGTTGTACGCGGTTTCACAATAACGTGATTTTCAAAAATTTATTCAGATTGGGACATTGCAGAGTATAGACAATAATAATGACCGTGTCTTGAAGTGTCAAACAATTAAAAACAGTGTTGGGTGTTATGAACGTATTTTACAAGAACGTAAACAAAACGCTACCCAAAAGACAATACATGTATTTTTTAGTACCTATGTATTGAATAGTGTTTTTAGAATTAAAGTGATTGATTAAAATGATTTTTATATTTGTGTATTAAATTTTGACTGTGTTCAATCATAAACCTCGATATACGCGAATTTCAGTTAACGTGATTTTCTTTGGAACGTTTCCCTCGCGTAAAGCGGGGAATTACTGTATGTCCTTCTATAAATGGCTTCTTCATTTTGTAAACATGAAATAAACCTAACCTAACACAAGTAAAATGCCGCTGCAAATTAAATATAAAATGCTCTACGAATGATAACATTTATAAAATAACCTACTAATGCTATAAAACATTTTATGAAATGATGACTATTTACCATCTGCAATTTGAAACAATTTGAAACCGAACATATCATATACTGGCTTTCCGGCTGCACCTTCGCCCGCGTGGAGTTCGGTTGTATCGGGTTTCCAAGAGAACCTTTCAAAAGTCTGTGATAAAAACTATCCTATGTTCTTTCTCAAGGTCAACTCTATATCTGTACCAAATTTCATGAAAATCAGTTCAGTGGTTTAGGCGTGAAATCGTAACAGACAGAAAGACAGACAGAGTTACTTTCGCATTTATAATATTAGTAGGGTTATTGCCTGCGACATATATATATTTTTTGTATAGGTAAATGTCATACACAGTCATAGGTTTAAAGAAAACTACGAAAACTTATTACTAACACGTAAAAACCAAATCTTAGACTATTTGATTGCTTTATTAAATTATCCATGATTTAATATACGGTAATGCAAAATCAGGCAAAACACTAATCATATGGATTACCATACAACGGTAGTCCCCCAGCTATGTTCGTAAAATTTCTTAATAAATATGTGTATTATATAATTATATTTATTTTTCAGGCGCGGGAGTAGTAACTACTAGGGCGCACGTGCATTATGTAGTAACTGAACAAGGCATAGCTTACTTGTTCGGTAAAACATTAAGACAACGAGCATATGAGCTCATTAAAATAGCTCACCCAGACCATCGTGAAGCACTCGAAAAGGCTGCCTTCGAGCGACTCAAATGCATGCCAGCACCTTAAACCATAGACAATAAATATTGCCAGTAGAAAAAAATAATATAATGCACTCTGGTACACATTTGTTTTTAAACGAATTTAAAATGCATTTTATTTTATATACATTATTTCTTTATTAAGTATTACCGTGCTGAAGTGTTATTCTATTGATAGAATTTTAATTTGTTTTTTTTTTTTTTTGAATTTTGTAATATAGATGTAAGCGTAATCATGGAAGTTATTCCGCCATTTACAGACGCCGTTGTTTATTTATATTGTGTTTATATACAGCTATTTTTATTTATATCACGTAATAAATGTATCTATTACAATATAAATGCCTTTTTTTCTTTAATGAACAATAATAACATTATCAACAGATAATAATGGCTGAAGTTATTAATTACATAGATTTTTGTAGTTTTTTTTATTAGTATACTGCAGTTTTAATATGCAATGTAATAAAAAATTTATAATTATCATAATAATAAAATCATTCTTTATAGTCTCAAGTCTCAACTTTGTTGTGATGAGAGAAATATTCAGTTTTTATCAGTATAAAATGTATTGGCACTAACTGCTAAGTTTTCATTTAACAATTGAAATTCGTTAATTTGACATCATACAAGATTAATTTAGTGATAACTATGGAGAATTGTCTCACAAAATAATAGAAACAGAATCTGGAGGAGAGTTAACGCTTTTAAAACAATAAGTGTCTATTTACACTAATTCGTTAATTGATATATTTATATGTATGGACTTATACCACAACGTAGGCTCCTAACCACTAGACGATCATGGCCATTGAGTCAGTGGTGGCCTAGTGCTTAAAACGGCCTGCCTCTCATGCACGAGGGCGCGGGTTCGATCCTGGCCCGGACAAGTACCAATGTGATTTTTCCGAGTCATAATATGTACTTTATAAGAGTATTTAGACATCACTGATGAATGCATTCCCAAATATGGTTGATGTCAGGCAGGCGACCGGTCGTAAAAACAATTAGCCAAAACTATTCACAACATGTAAGGCAGACCCTGGCTAAACTGGGAAGTTGCCAGATAGAAGAAGATGTACCAACACCACACTTTATTATCTAGTTTCCTCTATCAAAAGGGTGTCTGGTAGGCATCTCTTTTCAGAGATCAGTTATCCTTTGTGCATCACATTTCTTTATAATAATGTCAGTATTTCCACTTTTAGCAAATAAATATAAATCAAACAAAGACAATGCTTTCTTTTTGTTTATTTTAAAATTAGTATGTAATATTGAAGCAGTATTTCAAACATTACATTAATACTAATTCAAGTGTTCAACACACTGAGAATGTCATAAGAAAATAATTAATTATATCCTTTGTAATAAATATTATATTTAGTATTTCCTATAAGAATGAAGCATTTAATTTTCAAATTCTTGACCTTCCTGCACTATGACTAAAAAAGAAAGATGCCATTATGTTAAATGTTAGAAATTAGTAAATCGTTACTTTCATCCTTTGCAATAAATATTATTTCCTTATCAGAATGTACTATTTAATTATAAAATTCTTGACTAAAAAAAGAAAAATGTTTTTAGTGTAAATTTAACGCATATTCCTTTATTCCAATAATATCATAAAAACTTTTCAAATCGTAAAATAGTGTTAAACTTTAAAAAATTGTTGTCCGTAGGAAATATTCCTTTCTATCTACTATTTTCTAAAAATCCACTGTTATATGTATTTCTGTGTATTTATGGGGCATTTATTGTTTTTTTAACAACGACCATAGGTATCAACCGGAAAACTATAGACGCCCATTTACTTTAGGATAAAGCATAATAAGATTACACATATTTAATATAATGGTTTTATGTTTTAACGAACATAATCAGATGAGGTAACGTTTCGAAAGTACATTTATAAGGAACTAGATTAGAATAATCGCGAAATGATACGTGTGTGCAGTGGCGGCTGTACCTTAAGTGCGCCCGTGCGCTGAACCACCAATTCAAAATATTTAAAAATTACAAAATATTGTCATCTTAATTTTTAAATTACCATTTTAATATTTATTTTTTAAACATACAAAAAGGTATAAAAAATTTAATTTCCAATTATGGTCAAAAAGTTTGAGCGCTTTACTAAACTCATATCGTGCGCTCCGGCGAGTGCACGAGGACTGCTAATACATCTTGTATGAGACACGCATCAATACGCCTGGCGCGTGAGACAAAAGATAGTTCATAGAAATGTACCGAGTAACGAGTCGGTTCTCGCGCGCCGCACGAAGCGGCCGAAGGTCACCGAGAGCACCCGATGTATGACGTATTGAGCCGGCCGGCAAGGGGCCGGCCGAAAGGATGGGTGCTATGATTGACATTTCGTTAATCGTTATTGGTATTGTTTCAACTTTCACTGTATGCGTGACGCGTTAATTCGTTATTGTTTATAATTATTTCCGTAATTCGTTTTAGTTTTTATTTCGTTTCTATAATAGAACTTTTATTCTGTACTGTGTTTTTTATTAGTTGAAAATGAGTATAAATATTGATTATATTAAAGAAAATAACAAAATTTTTCAAAGTAAAGTGAACATAAAATTGGCCGGGCCGCCACGGCCCTTTTTAAATTTAAAACAAGAGTGTAAATCGCAAAAATAAAGCATTTATACGAAGTTTTAAAAGTGAAATGTATAATGGAAAGAAATGGTTGTGTGGATGTGAGCGTCTTAATGCATTCTTTTGTTTTCCTTGCATTATTTTTGGCGGAGAATCGATTTGGACAGAAACTGGAATCAAGGATTTGACGCATTTAAGTGAAAAAATAAAAAAAACACGATTCTTCACAAGTACACCTACAAAATGTAATGAGTTTGTCTGTGTTAGGCACAGTCGATATTCGTAATCAGTTAGATTCTGTGTATAGAAGTAATATCCAAAAGTATAATAAACAAGTTGATAAAAACAGATACATTTTATCACGTCTTATCGATTGTGTCAAGTTTTGTGGTGCATTTGAGTTAGCTTTACGAGGTCACGATGAAACTATTGAGTCCAGTAATGCTGGAGTGTTTCGTGGATTAATAGACTTTGTATCAGAGTTGGATATAGTTATGAAGAAGCATCTATACTATACCAATGACTTCAGTAGAGAGCGAGCGATGTTTTTCGACACTGAAAAGAATCAAAACTTTTCTCAGAAATACCATGTCTCAGGATCGGCTAAATGCACTTTCTGTGCTTAGTATTGAAAAGAAATTTATAGAAAAAATACCAGATTTTAATAAAAAGGTGATAGAACATTTCGCTACAGAAAAATGTCGTCGCATTGATTTAATGTACAAAAAATAAACATATTTTATGTCAATTGTTGTTTTTGTCAATATTTTAGTAAAGTGAACCACCAGTTCGATAACCCACCAGCCGCCACTGCGTGTGTGATTACACAGCACAACAAAATCAAACTTTTTTTTTGTTGCATGGAGTTTTTCTACTGTTGTTTACTAATTTGGGTGCGCTGATTTTAAACCTGACCTCAGATTTTTTGTAGCAGCTCTAGTTAGTCAGATACAGGTCCGTCTTGAATTTACATAAGTTGTCAATAGTTTTTACCAATAGCGGTGTAACTTAACTAGTCCCTTTATAAATTTCATTATGTCTTCCTCAAGAAGGACGTGTTTAAATAATCCTGAGTGTTTTTGTGCTATTTGCGGATAATATATGTTCCAAAAATATCGTTTAAGTGTGTTAGACTTTGTAAAAAAGGCATACTTTGACTACTTTGGGTTTCCGTTGCCATCAAACGCTAAACCTTTGATACCAATTTTGTTATGTAAAAATTGTATTGAATCTTTGCATTTATTGGCAAACAAAAAAAGACCAAATTTTAAGTACAAATCTCCCATGATATGGCGTGAACCACCCAACCATCATAACGACTGTTATTTTTGTGTAACGAAAATCATAGGAATAAACCATAAAAATTGCTCTAAGTGGATATATTCAAACTAAAAATCTGTCGTAAGAACAGTCTTGAGTATTAGTGACACATCAACACCACAGCAGCCTTGTAGATATTCGGAAATCCAGACCAGTGCAGCGGACAAACCGAAACGACGACAGTGATAGAGACAATAGTCCCCTATTACTAAATAAAGAGGATCTAAGTGACTTGATCAGGGATCTTGGCCTGTCTAAAAGTTGATAGATGATAAAAATTTCATCAACCATATGACAGCTATTGAGAAATGTGCATGAGGAGAGTTTGTTTGAGTAGTGAGAAATTTTTTGAGAATACTAAGTCTGACGGCTACATTCAGCACGTTGAACAGTTGCTGATACACTTCCAGCGGCTTGGATGCAACATGAGTATTAAGCTTCACTATCTTCACAACCATCTAGACTATTTTCCTGAAAATCTAAGTGACCTAAGCGAGGAACAAGGAGAGCGCGTTCAACAGGATATTCGCTCTATGGAGAACAGGTATCAGGGGTACTGGAAGGAATATATGATGGCTGGTTATTGTTGGAGCATTCAAAATAGTACTCATGATACATCTCACCCTAGAAAACCCACAAAAAGGAAATTTTATTCAGACTAAATATATTTAATAATTTTTTTAAACTTAAATTTTGTGCATTTTTAATGAAAAACCCTGTCTCTTCATAACTCCAAAACTAGAGCTGCTACAGAAAAACGGCATATATTTTTGAAATCAGCACGGAAAAACTATTCAGATTCATGTAAAAAATCTCATGCAACAGACATGCTGTTTTCCAGTGTTATCTAAATATATTATTACTATTGGGAACATAGAGTCTACTAGAACTCTGTCAAATTCTACCTAGAACTCTGTCAAACATTACTGCTTCATATAAATCATTATTTGACATTGGCAACATATTCCAAAAATTATATGTGAGCGAAGCTAACTCAGATAAGACTGATTGATACAAATGATTTTGTTGCGATTCGCTTAAGTCAGCACATTTTTATAAATAAATAATAATGTAAAACCATTTTGATTTGAAGATGAATTTATATTTTCACTTTTTCTGTGAAATGTGCCGATAGCTAATGCAAAGTTATTTTTTACCTCAAATACTCTATGTATCAAATTACAACTGAATAAATAGTGGTCTAATATATATAAAAGGCATTTATAACACTTGATAATTTGGTCTGCCATGATATTGTTAAAGTTTTGAGTATAATTTTTTATGTAAATATTTTTTAAGTGAATCTTCTTTAGGATCATGGGAGTAAAATTTTTACAGATGTAACGTCACGTCGCTATGCAACGGAAGTGTCGAAAAAGAGAGAGAGAGAGAGAGCGATCGAGACCGATTGAGAGTGAGTAAGACAGGGCGAACGTAGCATGAAGCAACTAGCCGTGGAGAGAGTAGGGAACAAGCAAGTGAGAAAGATTGAGAGAAAAAGTGAGACAGGGCGAACGTAGTACAGCGTTTTGTACGCATGCATTTTTTTTCTACCTTTGACATAGCATACTTATTATATGGATCAATAAGTCCCGAGACTAACCCAGACATAGTGCTCGTAGTAACCAGGTCTTTTTAAAGTACTAACCTTTGCTTGAAACGTGTCAAAATGTTAAGTTGTTCGGACCAGAAACAGCTGAGTTATCGAAGTTGGAGTAAAGTCGTTTTGTAGTTTGTTTAAAAAATGGAAAGAGTCGATGCGGCAGTCATCTGAGTAGCACACAACTGGCGAAAGCCGTCCGAAGCGTCTGAAAACGCAGCAGTCGGCTGGCATAGTCATGGTGTCAGTTTTCTGGGATACGCATGGCGTGATTGTCATTGACTACCTTGAAAAAGGTAAATCGATTAACAGTGATTATTATATTGACTTGCTGGTGCGTTTGAAGGAGGAAATCGCAAAAGAAAAAAAATCTTTTTCACCACGACAATGCACAGGTCGATGAAAACAATGGCAAAATTGAACGAATTGGGCTTCGATCTGCTTCCCCACCCCCCATACTCGCAAAATTTAGTCCCCAGTGACTACTGGCTCTTTGCTGATCTTAAAAAAATGCTTCAGGGAAAAAGATTTGGCTCAAATGAGGAGGTCATCGCTGAAACTGAAGCTTATTTTAAAGTGAAAGATATTTTTATTTATAAACATGATATTGAAAAATTGGAAAAGCGTTGGAACGATTGTATCAAACTAAAAGGTGATTATGGTGATGAATAAAAAAAATGCAAAAAAAATGTTGTTGTCATTGTTAGTCTCGCAATTTATTGATTGTTATTCTATTACTTTCTTCGAAACCCTGCCAAATAAAACATTTCAATCACTCTTATTGGTAAACACAATTAAAACACTTTCGTGGGCAGAAAGTATGAAAAAAAACTGACGTTTAAATCCTTTGGCCTCTTTTTATAAAATTTAATAATAAAACGGCATGAAACGGAAAAATATTAAAACTAATTATTAGCCTTAAAAACCCAAGGTCTTGAATCAATTCCTGCGTCGGGACGTGACGACCCCATCGCCCACTGGTGTATTCCTGTGCAATCAGTCACGGGGGGGAGGGCTGGGGGTACAGCTCTGGGAGTCGGACGGTCATCGATCTGGCAGGAGGCCGTCCGTGGCTGTCTTGGGGGGAGGGGATACTCGGGTCTCTCCGGAGGCCTGAGTTCGCTTGTGGTCGATCGGTTTCCTCTCTGTCTGCCGTCGGGCGCTTGCGCTCGTCGGTGGGTGGTTTTAGACTGGCCGCGTGGGCTTGGGTGGGAGGGGTAAGGGGTTAACCCTCTCGCGATTAAGCACCAGGCGGGGGGACGCTCCTGGTCACTTGGAGTGAGCCCTTGGGGGGGGAGGTGGCCGTTCGCGGCCCGCCGTCGGATCGTCGCGGATGTATGCTTCGGCGATTCCCGTGGCGATCCACTAGGCGGCGCCGGAGAGTGACCGCTGGTGTTTTAGTGGGTAACATGGGCCCTTCTGGACGGTGAATCCCACATAACCGCCTCTGTCTCCCCTAGACGGAGGGGTAGGTATAAAACCTTTCACCGCGTTAACAAAAAAAAAGGTCTTGAATCAAGGAAAAATATTTTTCCAAGATTGAGATATCTAAATAATATAAATAACTCTCTAAAGATTAACAACGTATCATTAATACAATAATACTTAATATATAAACTATTATTGGTACGGTTTTTTTTAATGGAAGGATTAAGAATATCTTCACAGATACACAAGACTCGTACTACGCGATGTTTAAAAACTCTTGGATTTTACTTAATCTAGAATCTAACAGCAGTTTCGGTGAATAAACCATTTTTAAGAGATATAATTACATATAAGGTACTTTAAAGACACTTTTTTTTAATTCTGAGTAAGTATAACGGTTTTCATGGAGTTGAACACTATTTAAAATTTTGGAGTACTTACACTGTTTTAAATTTGACAAAATTATTGTTACAATTTCATGATTATTCTGCAAAAATGCAAAATTTTATCGAAATAAAAGTAATAAGTCTTAGTCCTTGATGAAAATTTCGACTCTAATATTGCAATGATATTATCTATACTAATATTATAAAGCTGAAGAGTTTGTTTGTTTGTTTGAAAGCGCTAATCTCCGAAACTACTGGTTCGAATTGAATAATTCTTTTTGTATTGGACAGTCCAGTTATCGAGGAAGGCTGTGGGCTATATAACATCACGCTACGACCAATAGGAGCAAAGATATAGTGGTAAATGTGTAAAAAACGGGAGAAATTATTTCATCTTTGAAGCCTTCCATTGCGTCCGCCGTGAAAACGGTTCAAGATACACAAAAAATATGTATTAAAGAATAATAGCTCTTTTAATGATCTAAAAAACAGTCCGTGACAGTATATGTCTATCTTTTAAGATTAACTCAATAAAACCGTTTTTATGGTACCTAATTTGGTCGAAATAATTTGTTTAAGTTGTATCAACATAATAATATTAATCTTTATTCATATAAACAAATAAATATGTTGTTGGTTAAGAGTACTTCATTGTGAATAAAATAAAAATATAGGTTTTATCCTGAAAATTCTACGGGAACTCGACCATTCCGAAAACCCCGCAAGAACGGGAACTATGTGGGAAGAACCAAAAATTTGCCGGAAGTCACTATTCCACGCGGACGTAGTCGCGGCAAAAGCTAGTTTATAATAAAATTGCCAAAGGTGTCTTACAACTACTAATTTAATAATTTAATTTAAAAAAAAAATTCTATAAGAGAATATGAAATTATAACAAGGACTGTGTTTTATAAAATTTATAGTGTTAAACAAACGGCTTAATTTCTTACAGTTTTTATGTCTAAAATATTATTTGAAAGAAGTATTTTTATTTTCATTTAGTTTGCTACAGCCTACATGACTATTATAATTAATTCTAGTGGGTTTATTATTATTGGGTTGTACATTTTTTTCCAACACAGGCACATGACGTGTTTAATCTGTAAAGGTTATTTAACAGCCAATTAAAAATAACATTATTTGTTAACAACCAACTGAATTAACACAAAGTATTCGAGGATATCTGATTTTATTAGAGACATCATAATGTTTTATTTTTTTATTCAATATTCCTAAAGGAAATATCACCATAGAGTTTTATGAAATATTTTTATTAAAATCAAAAAAGTAATAGCATGCTCAATATCACACATATAGCTATGGTTATAGAAATACCATTTAATTTGTGTAGACACATAAAAATTACTTATAATATTATGTAACATCTTAGATTAACTTTGTATGCATTTCCATTATATACCTCAAACGACAGTTTTCGTAATTTTTGCCATATGTGACATTTTGAAATTATATCTTGGCAGTAATAGTAAAATTTCAATGGACCTTTTTGGATAAGTCATAGAAAAATATGCTCGATGGCCACCAAAAATTTACATTTTAAGAAAAAAAGGAAGAAGTCTAGTGGCAACATTGAAGTGCGCAATTTTCTCCGTCTGTACTCTGTGGCTGTTAAATTATTTACTACATTTTCGTAGAATGTCACTCGTGGGGATTCTATTAATTTGAGAACTTATTTCTAAGAATTTTTGTGAGTTTTGATTCAATTTGACAATTGTTGTTTAATAAAAAGCGCAATCATGGCTACATCACGGTTTATGCGAAGTTTTGAAATGTTGATAACGGGAAAGTACAAGGTTGTAAGAAAAATCGGAGGTGGTTCTTTTGGTGACATATATTTGGCGATCAATATTGGTACTGGAGAGGTAATTCATATCTGTCTTTCTCACGCTAATTCTATGACTGTACGATGTCTATTTTATGTGTATCTATAGTTTTCATCATAAAACTTTTCAAGTACACGGGATGTGTACCTCATTCCGCCATTGATGTCGACTTGCGATCCATTCGTAATCATTCAGGGTCCGTCAGTGGCGTAATGTTATTGTTATATTTTTACGAAAATTTCATCGGAATTAACTTATCTCAATCATAATGAACAGATAATACACGTCCTCAGTTGCATTTTATCTCCTTATTAGTCACACCTATACACTTGTGCTACTAAAATACGGCCTACATAATGTACTATAATATATTCCTTATGTTGCAATTTTATCAAAATGTTATGCCATAAACACTTAATAATGATCATAATTTGGTACTTTTTACTTTTATTTATATTATATTTGAGGAAAGTTAAGTTGTTTGTATATAAGGTTACAGTACTTTCTTTATATATATTTAGAAACTCAAATGTACTAAACAAAATCTATTGTTAAATATACTTAGTTACCAATATGTAAATAAAGCAGCATGCTTTAAAAACAATTATTTAATGATTACTAATACAATATTAGATTATCCTTTAATAATATATCCAGTATGTGATTTGAATTATTTACAGGAAACAGGAAATGATTAAAATTGAAGGTTATTCTATTTTTTTCTTATTAGTCTATTGTTCTAAATATTTTTATTTTGTATAGATGCACAAAACTTTTTATATCATAAACAATGTGAAATTTTCAATGTTCTCATTGTAATTTAGATAAATGTTGATGTATGCAATCTCTCAAAATTTCTGCCCTATTGTAGGTTTGAAAAGTAACATTACTTATTTGTTACAATTCTTTCTGTGATTTACTAGCTTTTGATATTATAAACTTTATATAACAAAATTCATCTGTTGTAATTCATGATAAAAACAATTACATCAAAAAATTTAAACATTAGGAATATTTTTCTGAATTCTTATAATAGTTCTTGCCTTTGGCTTTCTCTACATATTAATTCCCATTCTAAGATACATATGACTCATTTATTCAATTTTTCAAGGTTCTCTTGTCAGATTTTGAGTCACTGACTGACATATTAGATCTATGCCCTTTCAATTAAAAAACTAAGTTAAAAATTTGCCTTCAAATATCCTCATTTAAACTTAAACTTATTGCCAGTGTAACAAACATGTAGGTGAATTGAGAAATAACTTTTTCTTCAAATCACTTAAAAAGTACACTATCTTACTCCTACCTGCCATTAAAGTTCCCAATAAAATAATTTCAACCATCTATAAATTAGCCAAAACATAAAGACAGGCAAAATGTTTAAATAAATACAATTTTAATGTAGGTACATGTTGTTTATACTTTTATATGCATAAAATGAATATTCCCTAATGTTGAATTACAAACATACATTCATTTTATTCATTTAAATGAAACTAATAATTTGTGGATATACTATATGACTTTATTTTTGATAAAAACTACATACTCCCATCGTTTTGACTACTTTTATGCAACCATGATCACGGGCAGACGAGAAATGATTGTCACATTCACATTGGGAATATAAAGGTTAACGAATAACAAAAAAAAGTAACAACACTTTGCCAAAAACGTATATGTAACTCTTCCAACCAAAAACAATTTTAGATGTGTTACTCACATGGGAGCATGTAGTTTTTATCAAAAACAAAGTTGCATAGTTATATCTGCAAGACATTAGTTTAATTTCAATGAATAAGATTCGCGAAAATCTCAGATCTCATTCATTATTGTAGACTAGTTTTTGCCCGCGACTTCGCCCGCTTTAATTTCATCATTAGTAATATATGTATAGCTGACCGGGCGAACTCTATTCCGTCCTAGAGGCCATAAATAATCAGGTTTTTCCTGTTTCAATCGAACAGAATGATTGACATATTAGTTAGTTGTCAAATCGAATGTCAAAGAAAACATTTGTATGGGAAATAGAAAAGGGCTGTTTTTAGGGTTTTCCCGAAAATGAATCAATTTTTCTCACCTTTTAAACCTTCCCTGAACCTCCACGAACATTTCAAGATTAAGATAAGATAAATCCGTTCAGCCGTTCTCAAGTTTTAGCGAGACTAAGGAACAGCAATCCATTTTTATATATATAGAAGATTAATTTGTATGTGGGCTTAATAAATACAGTAGTTTCTACCCTTCCAGTGATATTGTCAAAGCTATTAGTTGTAACAGCTATAGTCAAGTCGAAACTATAAAAATGTATTATTTAGTTTTGGTTTCGTAAACAGTAATGAGAATTGCATCTTGTAAACTGTCAAATAATTCAAACATAACAAATACTTGTGACTTACAATTACTAATAAAGTTGTGTTCTTAACAAAAAAATATTATTCTACTGTATAATATTTGATAGACTATGTGTTCAATAGCGTTTAAGACAAAGAATTTTGCATTTTGGTAACTAAAGGTAAAAAATATGTATAATATTTAAATATTTTATCATAGAAGCTCCATTTGATATAAAGTATTGTATGATCATTTACATAAAGTTAGTGTGAGTGCAGTACTAAAATACCAAAAACGCCAAACAGCCCTTATTTTTATGTAGTTGTATTTAACTACATATTGCTAAAATACCAATGTAAAGTTTTCATGTAAATTATTTTTAAATTGTTACTTGTTTTAATCTGTGACCTTTTGCTTGTGTCAACCATTGTTTGTGTATGTTTTTTGAGTGAAAAAGTAGGTAATAGATTAATGTAGGTCCAAATAAGGTCATTGTCAAATCTGATAAAATTGGTCCCATAAAATTATATTACTATTCTACTAGAATTTTCTACTATTTATATTTTAGTATATACTCGTGAAAATTACCGCCATAATAAACATAAAAACGTGTTATTGTTATTGTCATAAAAAAACTATTTGTCAACATAAAAAAAGTAGCTCAAACGATGAGTTATAAAGAAATTTGTTTGTCAACCATTATTTTTCTATTTTAATGTCTTTCGTCAAAAATAACATGATTTTCTGAAACCTTGAAAGATTTTTAGGCTATGATTATAATGTTGTAGTAAATTTTTATTTCAGTTCATTTAACCTCGACAAAAACAACTGTCGTCAAGGAAGTTTCTAAATATTGCCGCTAGAGGCGCTCAATACGTTTTAGACAAAATGTCTTAATAATTTTTAACGTTTATCATTTTTTCGTATAGTATAAATAACGTTTTTTATTTTATTAATGTTATAAAACTACGTAATGTTTGATACATTAATTTTTAAAATACATTTACATTTTCTTTATTTCACAGACTTTGAGTAGTCTGTAGTAGTAATGTAGTTGGTTATGGCAACACTGATTCGAATGCCACTGTGACGTCACACAATGTAGGCTGACGATGTCTATTTCATAGTGAAATGATTTCAATAACGTAGCTTTCCGTTTATATATTATGGATTACGTGCTTTTTAATAGACAAAAATAATAAAATTATGAATTCGTCGTGTTTATGTAGCTCATTACAAACGTTTATACATAATTTAAGTGTCAGAAAGTGACGAAGGCAAAAGAAAATGGCTTCCCTCGAATTCAAGTTGTCGCGCAAGATAAGCGTAACATTCGGACAATACAAGCTCGTCCGTAAACTTGGCAGCGGAAGCTTTGGGGATATTTTTTTAGCTAAAGACAGTTTTGGCAAAGTATGTATCGGAGGCGTCGTCGAGATATATGTTATAAAAACCATGCACCAATTCTGTTGTTGATCTCCACAATCTTATGTATTAAAATGGCGTTCTCTACACCATAATGGATCATAATTAGTTAATTTTCAATGATTTCACAATAACCAGTCCTAATACAAAATATTGTTATATTATTAACCTAAGTTTATTCCTATTTCGTAACTTGGCATAATTTCGTTATGTCCCTTATGCTTATCAGTCTGCACTATTGTGCAGTTATAACTTGTATATCACACTCATATTATTATCTCTTGAGATTACAATGAGCCAAGCATAAACAAACATTTGAACTTGTCTAAATTACTATTAATGTAACATAATGTATTAATTTTACTGTTATTCACAAGAACTATATATGGTACTAAGTATACATATAAAAAAATACATTATTTCATTATTGTTTACTATTACTGTGAATATAAATTGTATTTAGGTCAGTAGGTTTTGAAAAGATTGAAAAAAAATATTTGATCGATTCAGATAAACACAATGCAGAATGTTATTACCATATTCAAACAATGAAACTTGAGTTTATATTTACAATTAAATATTCTTATTATTGTTATTAAAACCATATTCATGAAAATATCCAAGAGGATTCCAATTTCAAATAATGTTCTAATTTTAAACGGTTTAGGTTTAAGTAGTTTCTAGTTGGACTTTCTCTTTTTTTTTTCTATTTTTAAATTTAGAATTAGGTCAAGAACGAAATCATTCTGACAGAGGTGGTATATGATTGCGATTTATATAATATAATGTGTTATTTTTTGTACAGGAGGTAGCCGTGAAGGTAGAATCTATAAAAGCTAGACATCCACAGCTTCTATATGAGAGCAGAGTTTATAAAATGCTTCAAGGCGGGATCGGTATACCGCATATAAGGTAAAATACATAATAATTAAATATATTAAATATTAATATTGTATTTATAGGAATTTAGTTGTAAGAATACAATTTTAAGTACTAAAGATGGTTAATTATTATATACATGCGATGACAAAGATCATCGTATAGGCACATATACTACAATTTAGTATTTTTTAAATAAAATTATGTTATTTAAAATGAATATATAATTATAATAAGTATTAAGGTTAAAAATGAGATCATTAATGGGTCAGTATTTATTGGTATTGCTTTTAACTGAGTTTATCTAAAGCTATTAACACATTAAGAGGGAAACCTAACAAGAATATTGACAGAGGTAATGTGTGTGCATACCTTTATACGCAATCTTTTATTGTACTGAAACCCTTACATATAGTTTTATATATAGAGTTTTTCATTTATGTACACTTTTGTACATTTGTACACTTCATACACATTGTGTATAAATTTATGAATGAATTACTTTAAACTATGCCTTTAATTTTATACAAATTAGTGGTAAGGTTACAACACTTTCTTGTATTGATACATTTACAATCACATATAATGTTACAATGCCTTGAAAAACTATGTATTAAGGTCATCAAACAATTTACATAGATTGTGAAAATATTAGCAAGGTTCTGTCTTAATTACCAAATATATATATATTTTATAACAATGTGTTAGCATTTACAAATATTTCGTCTCGATTATACAAAATTTTCTAAAGTTATAGTTATTTTTTCTTAATAAGGCAGACCCTGGCTAAAGCTGGGAGGTTGCCAGGAAGAAGATAGTTATTTTTAATTAATATTTTAAATAAGACCTATTATATGTATACCTCCTAAAGCTATAAGAATTGTTGTAATGTATGAGAATGGTGTTTTAATAATATAATATTTTTTAGATGGTTTGGTTTCGAAAAAGATTACAATATCTTGGTAATGGACCTGCTGGGACCATCTCTAGAAGACTTGTTTAACTTCTGCTCTCGCCAGTTCACTATAAAGACTGTACTAATGCTCGCGGGTTAGTATGGAGTATCTTTGATAATTAATTAATTAATAATATATATAAATGAATTGCTGTTCGTTAGTCTCACTAAAACTCGAGAACGTCTGAACGGATTTATCTTATCTTAGTCTTTAAATGTTCGTGGAGGTTCAGGGAAGGTTGAAAAAAATTTAATCGTTTCTGGGAAAACCCTAAAAACAGCCCTTTTCTGTTTCCCATACAAACGTTTTTTTGACATTAGATTTGACAACTAATATTTTAATCATTCTGCTCGATTGAAACAGGAAAAAATTAATAAAAAGGAATAGAGTTCGACCGGTCAGCTATATGTATATTACTAGTGACGAAATTAACGCGGACGAAGTCGCGGGCAAAAACTAGTATAGGATAATTTGTTATATGAAAATATCATTATATAAGGATATCAAGACATTATAAGTCAGAAATATGTTAGTTTTGTATGTGTTATGTAATAAATTGTTGGAAATTAATTTTTATAATCATCATCGGCCTATCAAAGCTCACTGCTGAGCAAAGATCTTTTCTCATAGAAGGTTTGAGCATTAATCACCCCACTTGCTCAAAACGGGTTGGTGATTTCAAACTTATAATTTGAAATTATAAGTATAGGTTTCCTCACGATGTTTTCCGTCACCGTCTGTCAGTGGTGTTTAAAATCTAAATACTCTTAGAAAGTACATATGACTCGTTAAAATCGCATTGGTACTTGCCAGGATTGAATCCGCGCCCTCGTGCCCGCGAGGCGGGCCTTTAACTACTAGGCCACCACTGAATTATTTTCATAATATTTTGTATATAAATTTGTTACATGCTACAGTGAAGTTTTATGTATGACAGAATCACAGACATTATCATCCCTGCTAATATTATAAATGCGAAAGTAACTCTGTCTGTCTGTCTGTTACGCTTTCACGCCTAAACCACTGAACTGATTTTAATGACATTTGGTAAAGATAGAGTTGACCTCAGAAAGAACATAGGATACTTTTTATCCCAGACGTTTGAAAGGTTCTCTTGGAAACGCGATATAACCGAACTCCACGCGGGCGAAGCTGCGGGCGGAAAGCTAGTACAATCATATATGTATACATACAAGAAGACCCGGCGAACTTCGTATCGCCCTATAGTCAAGAAATATCTGTTACGTTTTTTTATTTATATTTTTGGAGTTTACCTATTAAAGCCATAAATCTCCGTGTTTTGAAGTGCGACAGAATGATTGACATATTAGTTAGTTGTCAAATCTAATGTAAAAAAAAACGTTTGTATCAACAACTAATAATAAATTAAAAATTAATATTATAGATGTATTAATTGTTTTGTTTTATTCAGATCAAATGCTGGGTCGTGTGGAGTACATCCATTGTAAATGCTTCATCCATCGTGATATAAAACCCGATAACTTCCTAATGGGCATCGGACGTCACTGCAACAAACTATACATGATAGACTTCGGACTGGCCAAGAAGTTCAGGGATCTACGTACTAGAGCCCACATTTCGTACCGCGAGGACAAAAATCTTACCGGTGGGTTAATATATGGAAAATGTATATAACATTATGATTATAACATATACATAGCCGACACGAGCCTTGTGGACTTTATATGTGGAACAGAAAATAAGTATAACACTTAATATATATGTAGAATCATTCATACTTCAACTAGTCTAGTTGTACATCGTCGGGATAGTGCAAATCTGAGTAACTAGTATTGGATAATTCCGCGTATATACATTGGAAGCAGATTATCAACAGAAAGTTTAAGTTGAAATATTGTGATTTTTTCACAATTATATTATAAATAATTACAGATTGTGAAACAAATTACCTTAAAAGTGGTTAATATAGAAAATATTTCAGTTTTAACTTTCTTCTGATAGTGCTTCCAATGTAGATACGAAGATTTGCACTATCCACGACGATATACATCATTATAACTATTAACTACTATAGTAGTTGTATATATATTAATTATTAATGTAGTTATAAGTGTATGTGTTGTGTTCCAGGCACGGCGCGATACGCCTCCATCAACGCTCATCTCGGCATTGAACAGTCCCGCAGAGACGATATGGAGTCACTAGGATATGTACTTATGTATTTCAACAGGTAATATATGAAACATTATATATATATACATACATACATATTATGTACTAGCTTTTGCCGCGACTACGTCCGCGTGGAATAGTGACTTCCGGCAGATTTTTGGTTCTTCCCAAATAGTTCCCGTTCTTGTGGGGTTTTCGGAATAGTCGACTTCCCGTAGAATTTTCTGGATAAAACCTGTTTTTTTTATTCACAATGAAGTACTCTTAACCAAAAACATATTTATTTGTTTATTTGAATAAAGATTAATATTATTATGTTGATACAACTTAAACAAATTATTTCGACCAAATTAGGTACCATAAAAAAGGTTTTTGTGAGTAAATCTTAAAAGATAGACATATACTGTCGCGGACTGTTTTTTAGATCATTAAAAGAGCTATTATTCTTTCATACATATTTTTTGTGTATCTTGAACCGTTTTCACGGCGCACGCAACGGAAGGCTTCAAAGATGAAATAATTTCTCCCGTTTTTTACACATTTACCACTATATCTTTGCTCCTATTGGTCGTAGCGTGATGTTATATAGCCCACGGCCTTCCTCGATAACTGGACTATCTAATACAAAAAGAATTATTCAATTTGAACCAGTAGTTTCGGAGATTAGCGCTTTCAAACAAACAAACAAACAAACAAACTCTTCAGCTTTATAATATTAGTATAGATTACTATTTGCGCCCCGCGGTGTTACCCGCGGATTTCCGGGATGTAAAGTAACCTATGTGTTATTCCTGGACGTCAGCTTCTTGTATACAAAATTTTATCAAAATCGGTTCAGCCGTTTGAGCGTGAAGAAGTAACAAACACACACACTCACAAACTTTCGCAATCATAATATTAGTAGGATTACAGCCGTCACTGTTAACGGCTTCTTTTGTAATGGAATGGGACCTTCGTAGTTGGGAATAAGTTATTATAAAATTGTCTCAATTATGTATTTTGTACATCACATATAAAAGATTCCTACTAAATTTGTATCAACTATCATTAAGGAGCTGTATTTAAAAAAGTGGAATTTTTATTGGTCTCGACGCCTTCGTAACACTCCTTAGTGGTGAAATTTAGTGAATTCCCTACTTAGCCGAGTTTATTATAATTATATACGACATGTTACCCGCGACTTCGTCTGCGTAAAAAAAGACACGAGTATATACTACTTACATTCACACGAACAAACCAAAAACGAAGCAATGTCCCTAAATGCTAAACTAATAAAAATAATCTGAATCTTACATACTTATGTAACTTAATAAAACTGGCATACCTAAATTCTATTTAGTGTTAATAAATACTACTCACTGCTAATACAAAGTAACTACTGATTTGTACTCATTTTAAAATCAAACAAATTGAAAAGTGAACCTATATGAACACTTAAAAGTAAGAAAAAAATGGTTCTACTAAAGTAATCAAAATATTCATAAAGTAAAACTATGATAATACAAAAACAATATTATAAAATATGAACAAAGCAGAGTCTTCATAATGAAATATCTGAAAATCATTGATGGTGGGTGAATTAAATGTTCTCCAAAGATATTTAACATTTTTACTAAATCGTTGTTCTGATGAAAAACATTAGTAATTCATGAACATTGGTTCTCTTTACAGTAGGATATTGAGCTCAATGCTTAGTAAATTCAGAATCTGAATAGCCCATAAAATGAATTTCTAGCAATATATGATCTTCAATCGGTAGTGGTAATAGCTATCCCAGTTAGTGATAAATTTGTCCACGTATATGTAATTGTTAATATTTGTCCAATAATTATTTCCGATATATATATTAATACAAATTGAATATTATAAAAACATGTCGAAATTGGGTATGAAATTGTCCTGTATAATATGTGTAGTATAAAACAACTGTTATATTTCTGAATGCTGGACAATAAATGCTTACAATCATTACCAATACCAGAAATTAAACAGTGTAATGTAATGGATCTGGTAGTGGGAGATCAGAAAAACATAATCCAATAATTTCATCACTGTATTTAAACGCTTTACAATATTAACAAATTATTGTCCTTTCTCCAATTGTTACTAGTCGGTCAGCACATTTATCTATTGCCATATATGTAATAGTGGAATGCATCTTATTAGAGAATCATAGCACTACTGCATTTGTTGAATCACTCAATTTCATTATGTCCTTCTCATTGTTATTGTTTGATGTCCACAAACTTGTTGCATTCTAAGCCTAGCAAATTCATTCTCACTCAATAACGTAGTTCAGACAACAATACATCTATTTCTCCCCTGGGCCTTTCAGGTTCAGAATTTAACTGATAGGTCCCATTGGGCTACCCAAACCTCTTTATAACACTGTCAAAGCCATTATGTCTAACAGCTATAATCAAGTCGAAATTAAAAAGACTATTTCCTTGATTTGTCACTCTTATTTGTATTTCTTCGCACATTTGATTGACTGCAACGACCTAAGTCCGAGCGTCTTCTAAAGATCGTAAATTTTAGTTAACAGGGTGTGAAAAGTTCTCGCGTATTTAGCAGTGAAGTGTCTTCATCACAAAGGATCAATATAATCACATTAAATACTAGGATGCTCATCATATGTCGTGATCGCTCTATCTGTAGTGTCACTAACTACTTATATAAATAATTTTCCACTACATATTTAACTTAAAATTAATGAATAATAGTCAAATATCGTTTTTTCTATATTTACTATTTAGGTTATGTAAGAGTTATTACTTGTTTGAAACATTTCATATATGTTATATCTGTTATATTTCAGAGGTTCACTGCCATGGCAAGGCTTGAAAGCTATAACGAAGAAACAAAAATACGAGCGAATCAGCGAGAAAAAGATGTCTACACCCGTCGAGGTTCTATGCAAGGTGAAGATTTGGTTATATTACATATATAATATATCGTTACTACCATTAGATTATTTTTTCACAATTAGTAATTATTTAGTGTTTAAATTATTACTAATTGTGAAAAAATGCCTTTAAAGTAGTTAATATAGATAATATTTCAGCTTAAACTTTCTTCTGATAATCTGCTTTCAATGTAGATACGCTTAATTATCCAATAATGTTATTATATAATGAATTATTACTCATCAGGGTTTCCCGGCTGAGTTCGCGATGTATTTGAACTACTGCCGCGGATTACAGTTCGACGAGTGTCCCGACTATATGTATTTAAGACAGGTTTGTAACATACTCTCACTTTATCAAATCATATTCTATTATTGTTATTCGATATAGTTAATCTTATTAAATTACATATTGCTTCTTCAATAGTAATAACAGTATCTGAATAGAAATTTTGATCTGTAATATTTAAAAAGTTAGTTTTTATGTCTTTAAAAATAATACTTTAATTCCATTTTCTATATTAATGTTAAATATATTATGTCTGTGTGTTTAGTTGTTCCGTATCCTGTTCCGCACGATGAACTACCAGTACGACTACACGTTCGACTGGACCGTGCTGAGGCAGAGGAAGCAGCAGTCGTTGGAGATCATCGCCGGCGCTGAGAGACGCTCGCCGCCCGGGCAGAGGCGCGCCGCGCAGCAGAGTCCGCAGCCGCCCGCCAACAACGAGGTGGGGGACAGACAGACATACAGACATACACACGGACATAAAGACACACACGTACAGAAAGACATACAAATGAGTTTATGATCGATAGCACACCTTGGGAATGAAACGATCGCCTCCTGGCTATTTCATCTCATATTAAATGGTTTATACTATATGAGACAAATATATTTAAAAAAAAAAATAAACCCGCTGAGTTTCTTTCACCGGTTCTTCTCAGGTCAGGGTATTTTCTTTTCCGAACCGGTGGTAATGTCTCAAGTGACCATCAATAAGAAAGTGTAATGCGTCTATATTGAATAAAGTTATTTGAGTTTGAGTATGAAAAGACACACACACGTACAGATAGATATACAAAGACACACACGTACACAGAAAGACATACATAGACACACATGCATGCACACACATACATAACTAACATAATATGTAGTAAACTATAAAATGTTGGTGCACTACTAACGTGATTCCCATATAAACATATCTAGTTGGGTCAACAGACCTATATATAACTAAAAAATATCGGTATATTCCTTCAGCGATTTAGTTGTATTCGTATTTAGATATGTCCCGAGACTCTATCCGCGTTTATTAATTTTGTTCAGAAATATAGTTACAGTTTTATAGAAAATAATAGGCAGCGTCACGAACAGTGTGTGTCACGTACAAATGTGCAGTTAGGCCAGTCTACGTTACTATAAAGTTTCATCAAAATCGTCCCAGTAGTTATACATACCACAAACTATCGCATATATACTATGAGTAGGATCATTACTGAATCTTTAGTCGTTAGTATATATAAAGTAGCATAGTATATATGACATACTATCTTCAGGAGAAATCTGTAAACGCTGTCGGCGAGTCAAAACAAGCCGTGAAGGGTCGCACGTCCGTTAGTCAATGGAAGAAGAATATAACAGAAATATCCTAACAAAACAGAACCTTTGATAAATATACGAAATTCACAGTAACATTAACAATATTATAATGTTTAGACAAAAAATATATTTTTGTTTGGCCCAAAACAACTAGATCCCTACGGTTGACGCAACCATAAGAATTTAATGATTTATTATTACGTCATGTTTATATATAAAGATGAAAAAAAAACGTTTATTAATTTTATATATAGCATTAATATGAAAAACATTTATATGGGAGTATGAAAAAAATGTAAAATTTGTGTTATTTTTAATTACATTATAAATAACGTGCTACAAAAATATTCATACTTAAAGGTAAATAACTAAAAATGTGCTTTTAGTTTATTTGTACGGTAACGAGCCGTGAGTCGATACTATCTATGTTGAATAAATTGAACTAGTCTTTAGTTTTGTACGGTAATGCTGTAACAAATGTACTGTTGTGTTTGTACATATGATTGATATGACTTCATGTTGGAATAATTTCAATATAAAACTAATAGAAATTGTATGCAGTGTTTTTATTTCATTAGTTTTGTGTATTATTGTAGAATATACCTTATATATTATTCATTATATATATAATTTCATGTATTTTCTTTTTATTTTCAGTGAAAGAGATTACGACGTTTGGCAGTCAACGGCGGGTCGGCGAAGAAGAAAGCGCGATGATGTGTGTGTGAATGACTGTGTGCGTGTGTGTGTGTGTGCACTGTGCGTACGAGCGTTGATGTACTTGTGTGTGTACGTGCCTGTGTGTGCTCGACCCTCGCTACTGCCGGTGACTCGTCGGGATAATATATTTCTTAAACAAGTTGAGTTTCCACAACAGTCGTGGAGGGTAGAATACATTTTTTATACAACAGTATCCTTACCACTCGTTCATACATACGCAGCGTTAACAGTATTTTAATAATCTCCACGATACAAATAGGTTATGATTCAGAAACTGTAAACTGTTCGTACGTCGTATAATGAACTAGTGTTAAGGTATAGTCGCTCTAACACGTCTACATAATGACTAACACGAGTGTACAGCAAGCGTTTGTCCCGAGTCACTCAATATTCCTCACGAAAATGAATTTAAGAACGATCGCTACATATCGATCTGAAAATTCTTATTAAACGAAGTCGACATTACTACATGTAACGTTTCGAACTAAATGAAAAGTCGGCAGTTTATTTAATATGTCCATGTTAGTAAGTTTAGTTTGATAGTGTTATGTATTAGTTGTACGCTATATTGATGACGGTCGCTTTAATTATATTTCCTTTAAGACCCACTTGTATTGTGACTGTAACATTTTGATATGTTTTTTTGTAGATTCATTTATCGTTTGTCCCGATGCGAGTTCGCTTCGATATCGGAAAACTGAGTAGTTTCCGTAATGAATAAAAAAATATATAAATAACTAAAAAAAATGATATATATATAATATTTAACTGATCTTCGAGGCGCTCCGTGTTTCGTTGTTCGATGATAAATTGTTAGAGTTAAATTGTATATAATACGTCGGGGCGTTCGTTAAGATGGTACATTACAGTGTATCTGATATTTTAAGTATGGAAATTGTAAATACAGGCAGTGTTCGTTTTTAACTGTTATACATAAGACGATATTTTTTTAACCGCGCCTCAACGCTCCAATAGTTCAGAGACACGGTTTGTAGTTATGTAAATTGTAAGTGATGAACTTTTCTTTGGATGATTTAATAGTTGGGACAAAAGTACTGAGACTATAGGACTAGTTGAGTATATTTACGATAGTTTTTTTTACCTCACGCTAGTATGGATCTCGATGTTCAATGTTCATTGATGGATATCGTTAACGACAGCAGTTTTTTTGTCTCCAACAGAGTATGGTCATTATAAAGCACTTCTAACTAAATTAATATTAATAAATAATAAACGTAATGTGTTCGTTTTATTCAGACACCTCTGTGTTGTGTTAGTCTGTGTTATAATTAAAACCCTACTATATTCATACATATATATTTTATATATTAATTTTGGTTTAATAAAGTAGCTAAAAACATTTCGACAGTTTTCGAGGTTTGTTCTAAGAATGTTTTTTTTTTGTAAACGTATCTCCATAGAGATCAAATGATATATTTTATCAGAATCTTTAATGGGATGTAATTAGATAATTATATTTTATTCGCTGGCTTCAAATATGAATGAAAACAGAGTAGTAGAAAAATGTTTAAACAGTTAGTGGAGAAAATAAATAGTTGTTTGACTTTCAATTAAATTAAAACGACTCTTCAAATGAATTGTGTTGAGTAAAGTAGTATTTTTCAAACACGTGTGTCTGTTATATAACATTAATATTTTCTGTATACAAAACGAGAGAAGAGTTGATGTATTTGTACATATTTTGTATGGAGAATTAACAGCAAGTAGTTCTGTTTACAGTCACACATGCTGGAAGGCAGCGCTAGTAGCGACCGACCTATAATGTTTCTGTTTCTTGTCCATAGATGGCACTTTTGCCAATTTATACCAAACCAACATCATTGATACGGTTAGAGTATAACAATTTAGGTTTATCTGCTTTTTTGTGTATGTTATGCAGTGTTTATTTTGCATTTATGGTGTGTACACTATGAGATATGCTATATAATGTTATTAGTATATGTATTTCTTTGTTAAAATATAAATATTTACATTATTATTAGTGAATATGCCACATAAAAAACTAGAAAAATATGTCATAAAATATTTAATATGGAAGTATTGAAGAAGTTATGAAAAATTATTCTTGCCCTGTTATTGTAAACATTATACTCATGCAGATATTTTCAAGTTTATGTCTTGATTAAGATTTTAATAATTAAATAATTGTCTATCAATTGAATTTTTAAAAATAATAATAGGTTATAAAACAAAAAAGCTGAACGTTATATGTTGTCGACATATTCTTAAAAATTATATTTTTTATTAGAACTAGACAGTGCTTGTCTATCCATCTGATGAAAAGTTAAAATATACCAGGATAAATGCCAAGATCACTATTCTACAAAGTCTATTCACTCTTTCATCGAAGGCCTCGGAGTAAGTGGAAGAAAACACTCGCAAACTATTCCAATACTTTGTTGCATACAGGAGAAAGGACTGACAACGCTTCCTTCGTATGTAAGCAAGATTTACGAAATACTGAGGACCAAAGTGCCTCTGTCACTTAGTTTGTTAGATTATAGATAATATCATGCTACTCCTCTACAGAGTTTAAAGCTTATTTAATAAAATATTTAGTCTGTCTTCAAATTTGAATAGATTGGTTTTAACCGAATCATGAACTCAATAAGACTCCTTGTTTGTCTCTCCAAGTGTAAAGGTATAAAAATTTGATGGCATCTGCCTATTATAACACACGTAATTGGTCCTGAGCGTTGTAAAGGAAGCAGCCCGGAGTAAAGTACGGCCATAAGTAACCAAGACGATAGATCTTTGTCGGTGCTTTCTATCTGAAGACCCACTAACTAATGTTTGGTTTATACCAAGCTTAGATTACGAAAAGTTGAAGTTGAGTTTCATTCAGTACTTGACATTCTGAAATTGCACTTAAAATTGTATTAACTGAAGAAAGGGATTTTTTTGTAACTCTGTATCCATAGTGACAAAGCAGAGTTGTCGATTGTTTTGAATGCTCTAACATTCTGTTAAATAGTTTGAAACTTTTATCATTTCACAGTAATTGGTACAATATTTAATAGTACTAGAAGATAATAAGAAATAGTAATAACATAAGAACAAAAAGAAAGATTATTAATTTTAATTAAATTATTATCATAACATCCTTTACTTTAATTTTTATTTAATATCATTCATTGTAAGAAGTTACACATAAAACGTATTGGCATTTGACAAAAAAAATAGAGCCAATATTTTTTTGTAATACGTACAGTTTGAAGAATTGTTTTATTGCGTGAGGTAGTAACGATCACAATTAGGTACTGTAAGCACTTTAATTTATTTATTTATGTAGCAAAAAGTGAAAATAATAACATTTTTATAAAAAAAAAAGTGATGTACAAAGGATAACTTATGTATTAGATGATAAACTACTTGAAACACTTCTTTTTGTAATGATTGACAAAAATATTGTAAACTCACTAGAGTTAAAGTCTTTAGAAAATTCGAGAAAACTCCCTATGTCTCTACAGCTTATTATTTTTCTGTTATTAATAAGTCAGATAAAATAAATAATAATTATTTTCACATTTGTTAATACTAAAAATTACTATAAAAAATAACGTCCTTTATTTTCGAGTAAGTACGAAGATAAATAAAACTATTATATAATCTTTTGTAGTTTATTCAACATTATTCAATCTATTTCTAGTATAGCATTAACAATAATACACATTATTAGAAGTCAAACACGTTTACATGTTAAGATAGGGTGATTAATGCTTTCTACATAATATTATAATGTGTTACTTGATTCAAACAAACATTTTTTGGACAGACTTCATAAATACTTAATTATTAATGAGATCTAAGAATTTCGCGAGTACTACGCGATTTTTTATTTTTGAATATAAACTACATACTCCCGACGTTTCGGCTACTTTACAGCAACCGTGATCACGGGCAGACGAGATGTGCACATCTCACACTCTCACTTACAAATCCGAAAATATTAGTTTCATTTACTTAATCATTGTTGTAATTATTCTTCAGAAATTATATTATCAACTCCGGTGAGTAGAATAAGAAACTATTGGTGAAAGACTATATACAGAAAGAAAAGTCAAAATTCATATACAAACAGGGTTACATGTTAAGTCGACCGAAATCCTTTAAGAAAGGATAGATTCCATCATTCCTAACCGATTTGACTATGGAAACCCATATCTTAAACCTAACCCCTTTTAAGTTATTGGAATTTGAATTTATTTTACAAAAATTACAGATTTTTTTGTCGACTGCCCCTTTATTTTTGTTGTGTCCCAATTTTGTATTAGTTTTGCTATTTTTGTGTAGAAGATTAATTGATTTATTATTTTAAGCTACAACTGCCAGTAACTGTACCAAATGAGTCCTAGTAAACAGTCAATTGTTAAAAAAATAAATAAATTTGAAAAAAATTGTTTTTTTTGTAAGATATCTTAAAAACAGTCTATGACAGATGTACTGCATACGTGCTAAAAAAATCTACGATTCTTCATCTTTCCGATAAGGGAGCGTTCAAGTATTACGTAACGCAATTTTCGAAGATTTTTGACACCCCCTTCCCCCCTCGTAACGCACAGTAACGTTTTTCTGTAAACCCCTCCCTTCTATTACAATAGAGAAATATGTGATTATACAAAGAGTATTTCATGCAACTTTTATACAGTGTTGCTATTTTAAATAATATTTAATATATATTTATAAACACTTATTTATTTTACAAACTAAATCATGGATACCGGCAAAGGTTAAAGGATATTATTACAAAACACTCATAACAGGGTATACAGATTTATTAATTATAAGGTTTTTTTCACAAACCACAATATTATCAAGCTTATATGGCAACACTAATGAGATAATGAAAATTGTTACACGGAGTAGAAATAACAATATAATGACAAATACATACATTACAAATAATTAAATACAAGCTAATTAACAAAACTATTTCAAGACGCCATCTTGTTTTCAAACATAAACTCATTAGGATTTTAAAACGTCATTGTGTCTACAAATTATTATTTAAAAGCTGAATATTATTTTAAATTCAGCTCTAGAAACAGTACTAACATTTATAAACTACTTTCTTTCAATAATCAATAATAATTTGACATTATTAATTGCACATACAGTTCTTAATATTTAATGGAACAGGGTATTTATCAATTACGAACACGTTCATTTAAAATACATTTAATATTAAAACATTCTATGGGATTAAATAAAATAGGATTTTTATTAAGTTAATTTTAATTTAGATTATATTTTATTATTTTATTTTCAGAGGCTTTCAACATCAATATTCAATTTCCAATTAATTTTTTAATAATTTCTCCGATAGTTCTATATTCTGTGAATCTATCACAAAATAATTTAAAACCTAAATTCATTTCTCGCAATCAACATAAAGCTATTATTGTCACTACATGTAATACTTTATTAATAATTAAAATTAAAATGTTTTTTTTAATATAGAAAACTGTGATTTATTATATAAATGAATAAAATAATAAACGAGGGAAGAAATGACGAGGTAGTCGGGGGAAATGGAAAACATTTTTCATTTGCTTAATACGAGTTTCCATCGTCACTACACACGTATAGCTAACAGTATTTCATTCATAAATCTTCTCACATTATATTATTAACGTGGGTTATTGAGTGAGAGACTTGAGACGCGGAGTGTGGAGTGTGATGGAAACTCGTGCTAAGGATACAAATGACATTCTTATTACAACAGATTATTAAACAAGTTATAAAAAAAATGCGTTTTTTAACCAGAAGATAATCTATATTGTAAATTTTTGTTCAATAGTTTATGTATTTTCATTTTATTAATTCGTTCATATCGATGTATTATTTATATAATTATACTATTACGGGAGTATTCAAGTAAAAAGCGTCTACTGTGATCCTAATCATGATAAACGGTAGCCATTTTGTTTTTTTGTGACAAAACAAAGACTGAATATCAAACTTCTAAGTCTAAATGCTAATTCAAATCTTGACTACATAGACGTAACAATACTCGCATACATGAATGAATATATAATATTAAACGGCTATAAAAATGTACATAACGCTAGAACTAGACAAACATTCATTATATATCTATATAAGAAGATATCTGTGATTACATGCAACGATAAATAATTTTAAAACTATATAAATTTTAAATACAATTATTATTGTTAATCATTATAATACTTAATTGTTTTTAAAATTTATAAATAGTTTTTACAACGCTTTGCGTCTAAAATACGTACAAGTATCACATTAAGAAATACACGGATAGTATGTGACAGATAAAATATACATGTCATATAGAAATTGACAGATAAAAAAAATAATAACAATAAATAATCTGGGATTTTGGTAAATTTAATGAAAATATATTTCGATTGTGCGTGAAAATACACGGAACGTAAAAAGTTTAACAAAAATAAATTATATCACTTAATATATTTACAAAAATAAAAATCATAACACGCCGTACATAATCTTACCTAGAAAAGCTACTCGATGTTAGATCAATCATAAGATTGCATATCTAGCAATAAACAATATTTTTAATCTATGTAACAGAGATAGCTAGACTATATCTACGAAGGCCAGAAAATATTGAGTATTTTAAACATATTTTTTCAATATTTTTTTTTATATATTTTTTTTACACATCCACGCAGCCAAGAGATCATTTTCTAATATTTACGCAACACTTGTAAACATTCAACTCGAACAGACTAGAACTATAATTAAAAATAAAACAATACTTTATCATCTTTTACAAATATAACAAACATTGATAAATAAATTACACTATCTGAGATCTACAACGATACTGGCTGTATCGTATAACATAAATTAAAAAAAAAAATCACCAATCGAAACTATAATAATAAAGTGTTCTATATTTAAATAATGACAGCTCTTAACATAATATAAATCAACCAAGGAGGTTGCATTAATATATAGACTCGCAGTCCGGCGGGTGGTAGTTCCCGAAGACGTTTAACTCGTACAGACTCGCCAGTGTAATGAACAGCAGGTACCAAACCATCAACACGGCGCCATACTTACGGTCCAGCTTCCAGCCGTTAGCGTGAGTGGCCACCACGAGGAAGATTACCGTCGAGAACAGCGATAGAGTCGAATAGATCAAACCTATGAACACCAAGAAGGTTTTATGTTACATATTGGCTGAATGACATTAGACATTGGCTGAATGTCATCGAGGTTGGATTTAAATTTGGAACACACCTGTCTAGGTAAATGAAGTTTTATCCTACTAATATTATAATTGCGAAATATTGTGAGTGTGTGTGTATGTTTGTTACTTCTTCACGCTCAAACGGCTGAACCGATTTTTATAAAATTTTGTATACGGGAAGCTGACGTCCAGGAATAACACATAGGCTACTTTACATCCCGGAAATCTGTAGGTAACACCGCGGAGTGCAGCTAGTATTTTATAATTGTGAAACATTGGACGAATAATTTGAGGTATTGTCTGGGTGATGTTTATATTTAGATTATATTAAATTCTTTTTTGTTTGTAACAGGCCATTTTTATAACCTTCTAAGCAGGTCTATAGATAATAAAATTTTCTATATTTAATATCAATAAACTAACCCTTGCTAATAACATTGACGTGACTGCCCGGCTGTATGATAGCCGTCTGTATGAACCACGGCAGGCCGAGACACACGAGGATGTCGAACACGTTTGAACCAACGGCGTTGGACACGGCCATGTCTCCGTACCTTATATATAATAAGGAATATATAAAACCTTTGTGGATAAAAAACTGGCAGAATAGAATAGACTGAATATTTAATTTAAAAAAAAACCGATATGACGTATACGCTATTACTGACTTGTCATAGCACTCTGTACTTAAAATTTTTAGCCTGGATTTATAATAAGATAATAATTGTAGAATAAATAAATAAATTAAAATATTTTTAGTAGTTTTATATATGACAGCATCAAAAAATTCAAATTTCGAATTCATTAATAAGACTAACTAAACTTATATGTAGATTATCAAAACTATATTACGTCACAATAAGATGACGTAACATAATATTAGTATAAGCAATACAAATCAAATATATAATTTACCCTTCCTTAATAACCGCCAGAGATGATAATGCATCAGGTACAGAAACTCCGGCGGCCACGAAGGTCAGACCCATTACTGTGTCGGGAATACCGAGGGTGTAACCTGAATGAACAATAAAGGAATGAAACTCAGTGGTGGCCTAGTGGTTAAAAAGTCCGCCTATCATGCTTGGGCTCGGGTTTGATCCTGGCAAGTACCAATGTGATTTTTCCGAGTCATATGTACTTTCTAAGAGTATTTAGACATCACTGATTAATGCATTCCCAAAGAGTAAAAACAATTAGCCAAAAATATTCACAACATGTAAGGCAGACCCTGGCTAAAGCTGGGAAATTTCCAAGAAGAAGAGATAACCTGAAGGAACAATAATAAGATGTGTAGTGTTTGTATCTATACAATATATATCGTCGGTGATAGTGCAAATCCTCGTAACTAGCATTGGATAATTCTCATATCTAATTATTTAGTTTTTAATTTATTACTTATAGTAAAAAAATTACTTTAAAAGTCGTTAATATAAAAAATATTTCAGCTCAAACTTTCTTCTGATAATAATCTGCTTCCAATGTAGATACGCGGAATTATCCAATGCTAGTTACGCCGATTTGCACTATCCACAACGATATAATAAACTGTCTCCCGTGCCCAACTGGAGGGGGCGGCATGCGCTCGGTAGTCTTACGACAAGCGCGGAGCAGAACGGGGACGTGCGCCTGCGCTTTTGGCGGGGTAGTAGTGAGCCAGTGACTAGTTATTCTTACATAGAGGACCAAGGGGTAGTACAAGATGAATATTAGTGTGGTTTTGTATGAGAAAGGCGGCAAACGAGCGGACGGACTGCTTAATAGGCAGTAGTTACCATCGCGAGTGGACATCGGCAACTTAATAGATATTGAAAATACATTGCTGACCTTGATTTTTGAAAAGGAAAGAGGGAGAGGTCAGGAAAGGTAGTAATAGGGTGGGAATGTGAAGAAAGAGAATGTCTTGTTTAAACTTATTCGTTGAATATTATGTGTTCGTTTATAGTACAGCCACATTGACAAATTATAATGAAAGACTGTATTGAGATTAAGGAATTATTTAACATGAATATATCTGTGTGTAGATAAATAAGTAATTTAGATTGACACTACAACTAAAATAACAGTCCCCGAAATATTGGTGAATAATCCCCAATATCATATATTATTATTAAATGAGATCTAAGACTTTCGCGAGCAGTGGCGGCTGTACCTTAAGTGCGCCCGTGCGCTGAACCACCAATTCAAAATATTTAAAAATTACAAAATATTGTCATCTTAATTTTTAAATTACCATTTTAATATTTATTTTTTAAACATACAAAAAGGTATAAAAAATTTAATTTCCAATTATGGTCAAAAAGTTTGAGCGCTTTACTAAACTCAATCGTGCGCTCCGGCGAGTGCACGAGGACTGCTAATACATCTTGTATGAGACACGCATCAATACGCCTGGCGCGTGAGACAAAAGATAGTTCATAGAAATGTACCGAGTAACGAGTCGGTTCTCGCGCGCCGCACGAAGCGGCCGAAGGTTACCGAGAGCACCCGATGTATGACGTATTGAGCGGGCCGGCAAGGGGCCGGCCGAAAGGATGGGTGCTATGATTGACACTTCGTTAATCGTTATTGGTATTGTTTCAACTTTCACTGTATGCGTGACGCGTTAATTCGTTATTGTTTATAATTATTTCCGTAATTCGTTTTAGTTTTTATTTCGTTTCTATAATAGAACTTTTATTCTGTACTGTGTTTTTTATTAGTTGAAAATGAGTATAAATATTGATTATATTAAAGAAAATAACAAAATTTTTCAAAGTAAAGTGAACATAAAATTGGCCGGGCCGCCACGGCCCTTTTTAAATTTAAAACAAGAGTGTAAATCGAAAAATAAAGCATTTATACGAAGTTTTAAAAGTGAAATGTATAATAGAAAGAAATGGTTGTGTGGATGTGAGCGTCTTAATACATTCTTTTGTTTTCCTTGCATTATTTTTGGCGGAGAATCGATTTGGACAGAAACTGGAATCAGATTTTAATAAAAAGGTGATAGAACATTTCGCTACAGATAAATGTCGTCGCATTGATTTAATGTACAAAAAATAAACATATTTTATGTCAATTGTTGTTTTTGTCAATATTTTAGTAAAGTGAACCACCAGTTTGATAACCCACTAGCCGCCACTGTTCGCGAGTATACATTTAAATGAAACTAATATTTTCAGATTACTACGCGTTTTTTAGGATTTTTAAAACTACATACTCTAGACGTCTGATTGACTTTGCCAACTGACAGACAAAACAAAACTAATTTTCATTAACATACATTATTAATTCGTCTTCTTGATCACAGTTGCTGCAAAATAACCAAAACGTAGGGAGTATGCGTTAAAAAATAAATAAAATACGCGTAGTAATCAGAAAATATAAGTCTCATTTAATAGGTCATACTTGCTTATGAAAAATAACCTAATATAAGAGTTAGGTCATAACTTCTCAAGGCCATACTCACCAATGATAGTGATCATCCAGACCATGAAATAAGAGTAGAATGATATCCACAGCATGGAGATGATGAAGGTGATGGGGTACCAGCGGCCGCGGCTGTCCGGCATCGTGTGGCGACACGACCAGTGCACCGGGAAGGCCACGTACCAACACGCCAGCTGCAGCCGGTCTGGGAATATATGGATATATGTAGAAAAAACATGATCACAACCAGTGATAGTTGAGCTATGGGTTGGATTTTCCTTTTATGATACCGAAAATACTGAAAGGGCTATTGATATTTGGTCTAAGTCTTAAATTTCCATTCTAAAAATACATGCACGTTTGGCCCATGGTTAGAATATTTTCCATGCTCCCGAAAATATTTGATATTTAACCCATGGTTTAGATTTCCTTTTCATGCTACCAAAACACACGCTGATATTTGGCTTGTGGTTTGGATTTTACTTTTATGTTACCGAATATACACAGGATCATTGATATTTTTTCTATGGTTCTGATTATAACTTCATTTTCTATCCTAGTAATAAAAAATACGCAGGATTGTTGATATATTGCTTAGTTTGAGTTACTCTTCCAGTCTACCCTTAATGACGTCTAAGTTTTTGCAACTGTAGGCATAATATTAAGGTATTGATATACTAAAGATATCCTTTAAGTTTCGTGTTTGAAGTCTAAGGCTGATGAAAATAACAGTTATCTTAGGAATAATATTTCATTACGTGTCTTAATACTAGTAATGTGAGACAGTTTAAGAGGATGTGATTTAATAGTACAAATGAAATTACAATTTTTATTATTTCGTCTAAATTTGTACCGTTATATTAATATAAATAAAATTGTCGAAAAACTATTGTTATTTGGAACAGAGTTCATAGTTTGAGAAGATCTAAAACGTAGACGAAACTGGCATTCTCATAGACACAAATGTAATATTTATAAAAATATATGTATAGCAGTTTTATTAATTTTTTTTATTAATTTTTTTTTTTCCTGGATTGAATATAAAAGATTGAGACCACATAGGCCAAAACCATAAAAAATATCGCATTTTTTGCAAAATGAAAAGAAAATGGAAGAAATATATTATTTTCTTTAAAGTTTCATAGTTTATGAACAATACTCACTAGCTCCGATGGGTTTAACGAGGGGGTCTACAGCTGTCTCAGGGTTATACTCCTTGGCCTTGTAATAGGCGGGTTGGGGGGGCGCCTGGAATATAAAGATAAAAATTAAAAAAAGATAAATAAAGATTGTAAAGAAAAGATAAATAAAGATATTAAAGAAAAGATAGTGTCAGTTAAGATAAGTTTTTAAATAGATGATTACATTGATCATGTTGCTGATAATGGTTATGTCTTTCCAAAGTGAAGAAGTAAAAACAATAATATTTTTGGTCTACAATTTCGAAATTCATATTACAATTTACAATGACTTCAATGAAACTGCCACGAAGACCATGAACAATAATTAAAACAAGTAAAAAAATTGTAAAAAACTATATAAGATTAAAAATAGTAAAAACCACAATATAAGTAATTATAAGAACCAGTTTTTTTAAACTACATATGTTCTGATTTGAAAATAGATTCAAACATAGTCTTCCTGTTAATTATTTTTTCACTAAAGAAATGTAACAAAAAATTTTTCTTTTGGGACTATCAAAGATGTGAAAACTAAGTAATTTATGAATTATATATTCGTGATGATAATAATTATGTATGAACTATTTTTAGTTTGCAAAGAAAAGTTCAAAGATATTCTAAGTATATATATAACTAGCTTTCCGCCCGCAGCTTCGCCCGCGTGGAGTTCGGTTATATCGCGTTTCCAAGAGAACCTTTCAAAAGTCTGGGATAAAAACTATCCTACGTTCTTTCTCAAAGTCAACTCTATCTCTGTACCAAATTTCCTTAAAATCAGTTCAGTGGTTTAGGCGTGAAACCATAACAGACAGACAGAGTTACTTTCGCATTTATAATATTAGTAGGGATGGATAGTCGATGAAGACATTTCCATGTTTTTGTAAACCCAAAATGTTCTCAAGTGTAAATAAGTGTTCCCTTCACCTGTTGTGTTTTCTGTTGCTGTTGTTGGTTGGTCTGTTGTTGTGGTGACTGAACCTCTGGTGACTGCATCTGGTTGCCGACGTCTCCCCACGACTGGTTTTGAGTCACTGGTGGTTGTTGCTGAAAAAATAACATATTTATATTAAATTATATATTAGGTAGAGTATATATTAGGTTTAGATATGTCGTGGTGGCCTAGTGGTTAAAAGCCCGCCTCGTATGCATGAGGGCGCGGATTCGAAACCTGTCAAGAACCAATATGATTTTTCAGTCATATGTACTTTTAAGAGTATTTAGACACCACTGATAGATGAAGGAAAACATCGTGAGGAAACATGGACTTATAATTAAAAAATACAAGTTTGAAATCGCCAACCCGTCTTGAGCAAGTCTGGTGATTAATGCTCAAACCTTCTCCATGTTAGAAGAGGCCTTTGTAAACAGTGGGTTCTAATAGGCCGATAATGATGATAAAGTAAGTAAAATCAAGTATTAGTTCAATTCTTTATGGAATTAAGTATTTTAAGGTACCATGGTGGTCTCATTCCAGGCTTGATCAGGGTCCCAAACGGCGTTAGGGTCCCAGCCACGTGATGGATCAGCGTTGTAAGCGGCGTTGTCATAAGCACCATCGGGATTATACGCTGGAAATCAAGTACGAAGATATTCAGTTACGAAATTAAAGCGACGAAAAATTTAATATTTTTGTAAGTAAGATTTTTTTTATTATTCAAACAAAAAAATCCCGAGGTTTAGGTTACTTTGCAGCAACCGTGATCATGGGCAGACGAGATGTGAATGTCATTCAAAAAAGTTATTTGTAGTATGTTCTTATATTCTGTCTTTATATAGTGCATTCAATAAGCTTATAAAAAATTAATGGAGTTTATATTAAATAAAAAGAATTAAGAAAAAACTAAATTTTGCTAATCAAAATGATATAAAATTATACGATACTTGCCAATGACAAGCAGAGAACCGAATGTTCAATTTTCATTGTGTGTTCGTGAAAGCTACGTAAAGTAATTTACATACGTAAATATTTGAACACAACCATCAATTGAATTTCCAAACGATGCTCGAACTAATTTCATTCGATTGTATTTGTCTGTTACTTTTTCATGAATAATTTGGATTCAATGTTATATGTGTGAGTGGTAAAATATATTTACATGATTACTTGGTATATAAACATTGAATTACATGTCACATATATCGTCTAATTAGGTATTTAATACAAATCGATGGAGTGTTATTTGAAATAAACTTCCTTTTGCAATTTGAGCACGATATGTTAGAGATTTCAAGTTTGAATAATGCTCTTGTAGATTTATATATAAATATAGAATTTAAATTTCAATTCATGTTTTATGTAATAAAAATCTTATTATTACGATTTATGGCAGCTAGCAATAGATAAAACTTCATATTTTTCTTGATTCGATCGAAAAAAGCTCTATATGTATGTTGAGTGAAGCGACCTCAGTGTTTCATACCGAATTGTTTCTTTGGACATTGAAGTTCGTGTTAAAATTAGTGGTCCTATCCATTTTTTTGATAAAAACCTTCCCACATACCTAGGCTATGAAACAAAAAACCTCATCTTAATCATACATTCAGTTACCAAGGTAATCTCCATGCATAAATGACTGAACAATCAGTATAGCGCTACAATCTTTTCTTTAGTTTCAACTTGTCTGTATCAACCTTAATAGCTTTGACAGCGTCACCGAGAAGTTTATCACTACGATCTAAATAGGTTCACTCAAAAATGACCCTTCATACGTAATAATTACAGAATAATTTTCCACTATTAGCCCGAATGGATTTCACAGTTTCTACGACAGTAATACCACTACAATAAAAAATAGCTTCACTCAAAAATTACCCTTCATACGTAATAATTACAGAATAATTTCCCACTGTTAGCCCTAATTGCTTTGACAGTTACACCGTAAGGGGTATCATTACGATCTAAACAGCTTCACTCAAAAATGACCCTTTATAGTTAAGAAATACGGAAAATTTTCCCACTCACCTGTCTGCGGTTGTTCGTTAGTACCTCCAACCTCTGCGTACTGTCCTGCTGTACCCTCTGCTGCAGCCTCCGCGGCCCCACCAGCAGCTGTCCCACCCGCGCTCCTTATACGAAAACATCAGATTAGTTCCCATACAGATATTACGTAATTATGTGCTGATATATTGTATGAAATACATAGATATTCGGATAGATAAACATATATTGAACTGTAAAAAGTAATATTTAGATTGATTTTAATGAATATAAGCTAAAATTTCTGTCCATAAAAGGCTTTTTTATTTAGTTATTTATTTATATTTTATGTATTTTTCTTCTGAATCAGTATAGAAGTGTCTATTATATACGATAACAAAAATTAAGTTAATATTCAATATATATTGCAAAGGTTAAAAAGAAGAGTTGGAGGGGTGTATTTTTTTTTTACTTTGAAAATTGTTTACTTTAAATCTTTCTCGTGACTTCGTCTACCTAAAAACAAAATTTAATTTTATAACATTAAATGTGTTAATCAATATTTAACATACCTTTGCAAACGTAAAATTTATATCCTACTCAAAATGCAACATTCATCAATATTCAGTATAAAAAATAAATTACATAACAAATACAGGGTGACTGGTGAATTACTATCAATATTTAAGGAGCATACTCGGTACATGATTCTCATTCGAATTATGTAAAAAAAATAGGTACTTAATTTTTGACCAAATTTCCGTATAAATAAATAAAGTGTGTACACGTTCCAAGTGTTCCTAGTGTGGACGCGTGCGGCGGCGTGCTGATACAAAACCACGCCCCCGCCGCGCGTGTGTGAGTGTGTAGTGTAGAGTAATCTGTAGGGTGTTCATACGATGCGTAATTAATTACACAACTTTTGGTTAACTTTACTTAGAAGTTTATTAATATTTATGTTATATTAATTTTTATTTCGTCATATATGATCGTCAAATATCACGTCCTCAAATATCGATAGTAATTCACCAGTCACCCTGTATATTCCCTAAAACGCATCACTAATAAGAATAAAGCATCTCAAATCACTAACACATCTGAATGCTAAAACAACATACAATATCGCTATATTACGATTCTAACTCAATATTTCCTAAGCCATATTGAACATTCTGGGATAATTAATTCTTTATAATGTAAATTAGAACATTATTATACCTGAAGTCTTTATCATGAGATTTCCAACAAAATAAAACTATCATCACTTAAATATTTACTTTACATGTTATTCTAATATCTCACCTTCATGACTATAAAGCTTCATTAAAAATAAAATCTGCTAAATAACTTTTGCACATCACCAAACACCTATACATAGTCACAAATTTTTCCATTAATATAAGTATCAAAAAAATTCTTACTTGTAAGTCACTAACGCCGCTTGTTCCTCTCTTGAAGGCAGTTTGAAAGGCAGAGGAAGTGTTAGAGCCCAACGCTCCAAGGCCGTGTTGAAACGCAGAGCGACGCAGTACACGCCGTACATGATCAACATGAATAGAGCCTCCGGCCTATAATCACGTAGATATAGACAAAACTCTACATTATAGATGTAGAGTCTAGTGTATATTCCTAGATTTAAGCCATAAATCTATAAAGTGGTATATTTCATTGTGGTCCAAATAGCGCGAGCGTTTGTTTGTTAGGTAAGCATATTAATTGTTTTTATGGTGTAAGTAATTTGAAAGGTACTTCTAGACTTTATTCTTTAAAAAATATAAACATTTTAATTTGTAAATATAAATTTATAATGTATTTATGATTAATTGATTGAAAAAAGTAATAGTTAAATAATAAAACAGAAGAGATTTTTCGAAAATAAGTTATTGTTAAAAAAATACGAATTAGATGTTTAATGATATCTTACACATAGTGAGTCATAATTATGTAAATTTTGACATGATTTATAGTTTACAAAGATTAACAAAGTAATCCTAAAATAAACGAATAAAATTATGTCTAAGAATATCAACGACTAATAAATTATTCGATAATTTTGTATAAACGAGATGTGATCAAAGCGGCTGCCATTTAGTTTTATTTGTCATCTGACATCACAAGGTCGGAATAAAATCGATAACTAAATCTAGACACGAATTGGATCTAAAAATAATAAAGACTACTAAAAGACTTGAGCTTGTCCAGAAATCATATTATTACATTCTTGAAACGTGCTTCGAAGGCAGCCCTAGTAAGTTTTCGTCAAATTTGGTTAGGTAGCGAGAGGAGCTTGGGCAGTGGAGGTGAGCGTTTAACGCGCGTTAGATAGGGGACCCTTAAACCTACACCTGGGTCGCAAGTCCCAGTCACTGTTGAAGCTCCTCTCTACAACGATGGACCCGACACACGCATATGAATACATTGAATGATGAGAGGTTTCGTCTCCAGTATTAATTGTTTTAAGTTATATCTAGTTCACTTCTCAATTTTTTCTCTTGTCTAAGTTTGAAAGTTCCAGAACTATCTATATTTTGCCAACTTCTGTATCTACTAAGAAGTTTATAAACTCACCAAGACACAAATCCGTTAGCAATAGTGCAGAGCATCACCAGAATAGATATGGCGTAGAAGAAACAGTCGCGGCACAGAGGCCACCAGTTGAGATGAGACACGGTCCCAGCACAGAGAGCACACACAGAGATCACGAACATTATGTTGAACACAGCTGAACCGATCACACCGGACACACCTGTGTGAACCACGGTTCATAGTTATATATATGTATACCAATGCACAGTTATAAATATATTGTTACGAATGCACAGTTATAAATGCACATAACGAAATCATTATCAAATGTTATTATAACGTTCAGGCTTATTTCAGAGTTCTAACTAAGTGAAAAACTTGGAAACAACTTGGGAAATCTAGTTCAAAAATGTTTAGAAACATCACAATACTGATAAAATTTTAACTATGATGATACATAATTTGTTGTTTATAAGCTTTCCATCATAAATATGTCAAAGGGCCACTAAATTAATACAAATATTTTTAATGCGAAGGATGTTAACAATACATTTTGGTGTATCAAAACTATACCATTCACTGTTTCATCCTCAATTTACTTAAACATTTATATGAATTAGATAAATAGAGGAAGTGAGTAAGTAAAATAGAGCACGTAATTAGAATATATGTATCCATGTTTTAATAATGCCTCTGTACACAGCATTTTATTATATATTTATAATAAGAAATGTTAATTTTTTTGATCTTTCATATGTTTTGGAGTCTTACCAATGTCATCTTGAGCACAGAACACTCCAATAACAACAGTCGCCAACTCAGGAGCTGAACTACCAGCCGCCATGAAGGTCGCTCCGGCCACGTCGGGAGCCAGCTTTAATTCTGATTACCAAAGAAATATTACCCTCACTTTGGTTATATTTAACTGAATTGAATTAAAAATACTCGTAAAAAAAGAACAGTTAATTCGCGAATATATATCTTTATTGCACTTCATATTTTAAAAAATATACTAATAAAACATTTATATGGTGATTTTTCTTCACAATTATTACGTAATACTATATTAGGGTTAATAAATCTCGTCTTTGTAACAATCAAAACATATAAAGGTTATTAAGTAAAACTTCTTTATTCTTGACTTGGGAGTAAGCTGATGAATGCGTTACGAAAGCGTTACGAAAAGTGTGATCGGGCGAGGCGAACGAAAGTGAAAGGAGGAATTTTTTATTTTATATAAAGAGGAAAAAAAATTTTTTTTTTAATACCTTCGCAAATCCTGTCCAAACTGGAAACAAAGTATTCGTCGCAAACAATCGCCAGTCCAATGAATGTGAATACAGCTACCAGTACATGGATGATGAGACCTCCGTGTCTTCGAGCTGTTTGACCCATGAGAGGTCTCGGGAACTGTTAATAATATAGAAATACAATATTATAAATATATATCTCGTCTTTGAGATCACGGTTGCTGAAAAGTAGCTGAAACGTCGGGAGTATGTAGGATTACAAAAAAATAAAGCATGCGTAGTATATACGAAAGATATTAGTTTCATTTAATGTAGAATTAGTTTCATACCTTATTAAAATAGGCTTAGTTTATTTATGAAGGTTCAAATTTTAAGTTAGTTGTTCAAAAGAAACTGCCTAGTGTTATCTGATTCATGTTAATTTTAATATTAATGTATTTCATATTGAAACAGATTAGATATTTATTTAGACTTATATACGAATATAGGGGCAATAATTTAACATTATTAAAACTCCATTGAACATCATTGCTTTGGATAGAATTGTGAACTAGAGAAATAAACTTTTCTCTTTTAAAAATAGGTCTTCTTCAGTCTGCGGAAGTAAGTTTTTGGGGGTTCTTTTTTATAACTCAAACTAATTCAAAAAAGGTTCAGATATTTTTGCATAACAAAGTAAAAGAGTGGAGTGTTACTGTTCATAAAAATGACATTCGTTTAAAATAATCATCATAGAAATCATTATTTCTTTATAAAAGTAATACCAAATTTTACTTCGTTAGAGTTAAGTTTATTTTAATCTCAGATCACGAACACATAATTAGTCTAATTAGTTATGTACAACATTAATTAAACCGAAAACGGGCTGTTTTATTTAATTTTATACCGAAACACTGTTCTGGTAATTGCTTTATAAACAACTTGGACATTTACACGTATTATAAATTGATATTGAACTGCGAATATTTTTATCGTTTAAAGTTATGACATATTGTCGAGTGTTGCTTTCGATAGAAATATCAATGCATATCCTCTTTCTTATAAATTACATCGGTGACATGTTTATGGGAAACGAAAATTGTTACAAGTTTCGAGTATCAAGAAAGATGAAGATCGTAGATGCATTGATAGATTATATTATTGTAAATCCTTACATTTATAATATTTATGATACAAAAGTTTTTATTAAACATTTTGAATAAAAATTCATATACAGGGTGACTGGTGAATTACTATCAATATTTAAGGAGCATACTCGGTACATGATTCTCATTCGAATTATGTAAAAAAAATAGGTACTTAATTTTTGACCAAATTTCCGTATAAATAAATAAAGTGTGTACACGTTCCAAGTGTTCCTAGTGTGGACGCGTGCGGAGGCGTGCTGATACAACAACACGCCGCCGCGCGCGTATGTGTGAGTGTGTAGTGTAGAGTAATCTGTAGGGTGTTCATACGATGCGTAATTAATTATACAACTTTTGGTTAACTTTACTTAGAAGTTTATTAATATTTATGTTATATTAATTTTTATTTCGTCATATATGATCGTCAAATATCACGTCTTCAAATATCGATAGTAATTCACCAGTCACCCTGTATAATGTTTTACAAATCATAAGTCCAAGAATTTTTCGTCTATATAAATAATTTTTAATAAAAAGAAATCTAATTTGATAAATGTTTTCTCACATAACATAAATTTTACATTACGTACCATATTTTTTAAATTACGTACCATAAACATAAAGTAGTTTTCATCTCCTTTAAAACTAGAGAGCTATATTATTAGCATATGTCTGTGTATCTTTATGTCAAATGCTAAATATTATATCAAACCTGTTCTATAGCTGGTGGTGTGCAGTTCCTCAGTGGATGAACGGTTGGTATAGCATCTGTTTCCTCTTCCCTTTCCTCTTCCTTCCTAATCTCCACTGTGCCCGTGTCCTGATAAAATACACCACGAGGATAAGGAGTCTCATTTGACTTTATGTATTGGGACTAATAAGTTAAGGGAAGTTTCGTAATGTGCTTTATTTTGTGAAAGATTTGAGAGTAAGACCAGTGTCCTGAATTTGTATTTAGTAGTATTACAGACGATCGTCTTTATAAATATTTTTTTTCCATTTGTAGCTTTTGCAGTATAAATAAAAGCCTAGATACAACAAGACAAGCAACTGGCTTGGTGACATACTAAATATTAACTTTGCAGAAAAACATAAACTCCTTTAGACGTCACTAAAATTCACACGATGCTAAATAAATTCGTTTTGCCAATGCTTACAATCTATTAGTAAAGACATCTCAAAAACTCATTTATATACCTTTTCAAGCTGTTATTTCTTTTCGGAACAAGGAAGTCGTTTGAATTAATGAGGAAAATTGGGCCAACCTAGATGTTTAGAAGCGTGTTTCAAAATTTTGAGATGCAAATTACTTTAGCGAATACATCCGACATCGTAAAATAGGACTTAAAGTAATTTAGGTAGAGGACATTATCGGTTACATGCGAAACATTTTGTTTTTAGTTAGAATGGTCGAATAAATCAAAGGTAGGTCAGTCGGCCAAGTATTAACGTAGTAAAAACTGTATATCGATGAAAGGAAATTACGCGATAAGACTGGCAAAGTAAGTTCTAGGAAAAATGTAGCAATGTTCATACAATTTCGTTACCCAATATATATGTTCCTACCTCCTCATAGCCAGCGTCTTTTTGCTTTTTCTTTTCCCCTTCTTCTGTTTCGTCAATTAATCCTTTCATAGCTTTCTTGCCATCAGGTTTCGTAACTTCTTCCTTACTTGGTGCACTCGGGGTCACAATCGGTCCTGCTATTTAGGAATGAAAGTCTATCATCATTTTGATTTCTATGAAAATAAACTGATAATACGCTTATGTAATATTAATGTAAAAAATGAAAATTTTGAGCTTTCTGTTTATATCCTATCCTGTAAAGACGATTTTAAGTTTTGTCAGAAATTTATGATAATTCAAGGTACAAAATCTTTATCAAATTTAATATACAATACAAATAAATTGAATAAAGTGGCTGCATAATTATGTGCATTGAGAGCAAGCCTAAAATAAATTCCTCAAATCAAGATACTTAGTGCAATTTTAATATTGTATATCGCGAAATATCTATGACTATGGCTTTTAATAGGAAATGTGTCTGCTAATTAGTCTCCATGGCTATGGCTTTCTAGGCTTTTAAAAACCATTTAAACCATATATTTGCTACACACATACATTACATAGATTATACAGAAGAAAATAATTAAATTTAAACAATACAGTATAGGAGCAAGGGGTTCATCTCAGTATAAGTTGTAATAATACACAGCACTGATTTTCAGATTGTAAACTATTGGGTAAACATACACAAATGTTTGCACACGAAAATAAATAAATGATAATAGATTTTACTGCTTATTTACGTACCTTTAAGGTTATTTACCTTTAAGATCACTAGTGCTCTTTATCTCTGGGGCCTGTGAGACCCTCGTAGTATCAGCCTCAGGATCCGCTGGTTCAGATGGATGGCTCAGCACAGCTTGGAACACGGAGTAAGCTATGAAGAACACGGACACCGTCAGCCACCGATGCCGGCGCGGCTTACGCATTCTCTGAAATGACATATATATATGAAAAAATTCTTTGACAAATGACAATTGATTGTCAAAATGTACAATTCCACAGACTTCATATGACATTTTCATATTAATTCATATGACATAGCATAAATAATAATAATAGTAAGATAATTATAGTTTTATTATATTTTATAACTATGCTTAAAAGTCAGGGCCAATCAGTATTTTTATTTAATTAGTTACCCTCTTGTTAAATTTGTTAAAACTTACGCAAAACGTATGAGATTTTATTTAATTAGTTACATACTCCTTTGTTAAATTTGTTTAAACTTAAAACTTACGCATCTTATGAGCGAATCTGTTGGCTTTTGCCTGAAAAGATCTTTTGTATATAATTCTTATTTTACTTATTGTACAATAATATAACAATGAAATAGGTACAAGCACCAGAAATCTTGAACTTCTTTTCGTTAAAAGAACAAACGTAACTTCTCGAATTATTTAAACTTAGACCAGGAGATTTAAAGTTTTAATTTAAACTATTTTATATGACCTTCAAATATTTTTATGAAATATTACTCTGATTTTAATTGCTTATAAAAATCTGTTGATAAATCTTCTAAGTCATATCGTAGGTTATAAAATCTTTTACTGCGGCCGTCATAAATATTATCCCTATAAAGTGATTGTATAAAAATGCATTGGTTTTATAACCAAGTCATTGGTTAAGGATTTCGCTCGTAAGAGATCTTTGTGTGACTTTATCGTGAAAATAAGAGTCAGCTTATAAAAAGAGAATTTGATTTCTACCAATCAATGTTATAATGGGAATGACGATTAAAAGTGTAAAAAAATGACAACGACACATAAATTATATATATATTAATCACAAAAGAAATATTTATGCTTTTGTCATTTATTTCTTCTTCTATCTGGCAATTTTCCAGCTTTAGCCAGGGTCTGCCTTATATGTTGTGAATAGTTTTATCTAATAGTTTTTACGACCGGCCGCCTGCCTGACATCAACCCTCTTTGGGAATGCATTAATCAGTGATATCTAAATACTCTTAGAAAGTACATATTACTCGGAAAAAACACATTGGTACTTGCCAGGGCTAGGATCAAACCCGCGCCCTCATGCATGAGAGGCGGGCCTTTTAAGCACTAGGCCACCACTGACACACGCTGTTGTCATTTATTTATTAATAAAATATAGTACTAAAAAAAAGTACTTATTTTACGTATTTATGTTTGATATGAATATACTCAGAACTTTGTCTTAAATGGTAGGTATATTAATACTTTTATATATCATTTATTTAATCAAAGATATATACACATACTGATTTACAAATTCATATTTGTAAAAAACTAATTTCAGAACATTTATCTAAATTCCCAAAAAAAAAACAACAAGCTATTTAATTTTATAATTATAAAACAGTGTTTACAAAAGAACATGAATTTGATATTATAATAGTATTGCTTTGTTTATAAAACAAAAATATCAGTAAATAAAAGTAATAGATACCTTTAAGCCTCTGAGTTAATCTTAAATGGTTTTCTTCAAGTGTTTGCTCTTTCGAACTTATCGAATTACTTTGAACAATCGCGATGATTTTAAGACGACGTGATTTATCTTATTCCAGCCTGATAAACGATTCTTAGATATCCGAACATTTGTTTAAAAGGAAACCTCTTTTTGGATCGATTTTAAATAGTTTTATATAAAGAAAACGAATTTAGGTTAGCTATTTGATGGGTTCTTATTAATAAGTTGGTCGCTTTTAAATAGTTTTATATAAAGAAGATGGATTTATATTGCCTGTTTGATCAGTTATATAATAATTTTTGTATCATATCCTAAATATAAATAAGAGGAGAATATTTTAAATGATAGTTATTATATTATATACTCACTAGCTGACCCACTAACGTGACCATATAAAAAAATAGGAGTTGGTGATAAAAAAGGTAAAAATTTAGAATTGTATGTATTTTTTAAAGCTACATTATAAAAAAATAAAAATAAAAAATTTCGTCCAAAAATAGAAAACAAAAATTTTAAGGGTGAACAACCCTTATGACTTAGGGGTATGAAAAATAAATATTGGCCGATTTTCAGACCTACTCAATATTGTCACAAAATTTCATCAAAATCGGCCCAGCCACGACACGAGAACAGACACGAGAATTTTATATATAAGATATATATAATATTTTCATAGAAACTTTTCAAGTAAGTAATACTTTATGTGACTCCCTAATTTTCCGGTTGATTTCTCATTTGACATCAGATTTTACTCTTTGCGAGTCTTTTTTTCTTATTATCCTTATTATAAATATAAAAAGGATGTAAATTATATCTACAACTTTTCATGAGTGAAGATTTGTATAAAAATTAATTGGTTATGAAAATAGTTTAGTATTGAGAAAAGATGTAATACTTTTGACAAAAAAAATATAACTATTTCTAATATCTATACAGGGTGACTGGTGAATTACTATCAATATTTAAGGAGAATACTCGGTACATGATTCTCATTCGAATTATGTAAAAAAAATAGGCAAAGTTTCGTATAAATAAATAAAGTGTGTACACGTTCGTAATTATTTACAATTTTGGTTAACTTTACTTAGAAGTATAATTATATGTTAATGATATATGACCGTCAATTATCACATCCTCAAATATCGATAGTAATTCACCAGTCATATATATAAAAGAAAATCGTATTAGTTACACTATTTATTATATATAATATTATGTTTGGCTGAAAATTGGCGGAAAGAAAGATTAGAATCACAAAAAGGACAAAGGATACTTTTTTCATGCGATCGAGAAAAAATTAAAACGATAAAACCCAATATCTTAATATTTACTGCCTTTAAAGAGGAACAGATATCGTCCGGTCATACATTTACATTTTAGAAAGTAACGCCGACAAATCAAAAGCTAGTTTTGCAATAAATTTATAAATACATAAGAAAAACACATTTTTTATAAATGTCAAATTACTAGGAATAACCAAAAAGGTTTTAATGAACCATCTGTCATAATTCTTGTCGTAAATGGAAAAAGTGCTGAAGTATTATAACCTTTGACAGAGTCAACTCGTAGTAGGTTTAAGCACTTCAAAGTCTTCTCGAAAGGTCGATACAGTATCTTTGAACCAAATATTAATGGATTAGTCATTACTATATTACGATATAATGAAATATATTTGTATTATTTGTAACGAGAAATTCATATAGGAATCTATTTTTTTTTAATCACGATATTGATCACAAAAAGGCAACGGTCTGGTTTATACAGCCAATAAATGTAAGTCACGATTTTTTTGGAGATTTAGGGCGTTTGAGGTGAAGTTTTGGTATGTCTTTAGAAGGATATACTCTTGAAATAACTAAGATAAGTGCTATAAAATAATATAATTAATGTTTTGACTTCTTTTATACATATTAAAATTTTATGTATGACATTTGGAAGATCTTTTTATGTGAACGCAAAATTTTACTTCGTATTTTATTGACCTCAAATACTAAAGTTTAGAAAGACAATAATAATTAATTTATCGAACGCCCTGTATTATTGCTAAAAATATTCAAATATAATTTAAATAAAATCAACATTTTATATAAATATATATAAATAACTGATTATTAGTTTTAATTATTCTATAGAAGTAATTATTTGAAATTCAACGCTAAAATAATCACTGACAGCTCTAAATACGCGCCTTAATATCTGTCAAATGTGTGACTTAAGTATATACATTCTTACATATGGCAACCCTAGTATACACTACGTATAAAATATTTTTTATTTTAATATTACAAAGAAAATTATCTTTAAAATAAATGTATATTTCTTTTACAATCTAATAAACCGGACACTATGACCTTTCATAATTTCAAAAAAAATCTACATTTTTTCTACTAGATTCTTCGTAATTTCTTGTTACGTAAATTCCTTTTAGCATTTAAATTTCTTCTTCTTTGACTATTTTTAATTCTATTATGCGACCTTATTAATATAAAACAGGAAATTTTCTTTTAAAAATATTAACTAAAAAGGTTTTATTCATTTCCTAATGCTTGTTGATTTTCCGTAGTACAATTTTATGTCGAAACTCCGTATGTATTGATCGATGATGTTACGTTGATCAAATTTAGATCTTATTGCATATAATTTTAGGTTCAAATTCAATTGATAGTAAATCATTCATGTTAATGTGTAGAGCTCAAGTTTTATTGGTTTATAATCTCCAAAGGTATATTTGTAACGTATATCAAAGTTAGTATTGATCGGGTATCATTATTATTACGTCATCACGCGTAAATCAGTGTATTAATCACACGATCATTTTAGGTTAACTTTACTCAGAAGTTTATTATATTTTGTTATATGATATACCAGTCACCCTGTATATTAAATCTTTCATTTCATTCATATTTTTTGATATATTAATCATTAGAAAGAAAGATTTTGTATGAAATATATATTGTAAAGTACTTCCATTATATGATGTAAAAAAAATCCCTATGTATACCTACAATTTTATTACTTAATATCTATAAAATTACTTCCATTATATGATTAAAAAAATCCCTATGTGTATTTTAATATCTATAAAGGCCCAATAATACATACTTATGTTCAATTTTCATAAAATATTACAATAAATTTCACTATAACTTATATAAAAATATATTTTTTAAATTCTATAACAAAGGAAAAGATTGAAAAGTATACGTCCTATCTATTGTAACCTCTTTTCTCATTCAATTTATATTTTGTACCGAAGCGTCTATACGAATACAGAGTGAGAAAATCAGAACAAAGTAAATGTTTTTTATATCTAATCAAAGAGTTTTTAATTAATTCTGTATATTATAATAATATTCTATTTATTTATGTGTACCTACAATATTTTATATCGTGTATTCTTTAATATAATTTCAGAATTATAAACTATTTTCATTGAATATGGAATTATATAAAATGGTATCTAACTTTTTTTGTAATTTTTTTTAAATTTTAA